ATACGTTGCGCCTTATATACGTTGCTGTTGAGCAGGTTGAGTATGCCATTTACAGTTTTTCCTACTCCAAAAAACATTGAATAGAAATTATGTTGAAGTGACAAACACATATTTCAAGCTTACATTACTATGTTCAAAATGAACAAAACAAAAACACATACAACTTCTGTAATGGTTCATTCTTATCATTTAGATTGATATTAGTATGTGAGGAACAGAGTCACAAGTCATGTCTAGAAGCTTTAGTGGGATAGATGATCAGAAACATTACCTTCAGCTCTTTACTGGTTTGTACCAAACCACTAAAAGGTCAGTGGGATTTTCCACAGAGAGGCCCCGTACATGTTAAAGTAAGACTGGACCAGGGAGAAGTAGATTGAGGTCAGGCATTGAGTGCATCTGTTTAAACTGTGACTGTGAAGCAGAATATTACTTTCTAATCGACTCCTGAGTCTGTCCATGACGACCACAACGATGATGATTTCAACTAAATCTCCCAATCTTTGTTAATACAATTTCACCTTTAGGACCCAAAAATATCTCAAATTAGTTAAGCATATCAGAGGCTCATGAAAACAGGCAGCTTTTGTTGTTAAATTACATGGGGGTAAATCAAACACATCCTGCTGTACAGAATAAACCATTACAGAAAACCTCATTACAGTTACATTATAGTCTATGTAGATGGATGTGTTTGTCAATGACCTTCAGCATGGCAGGCCTTTCAGCATGGCAGTCCTTTCAGCAGGAACGCTGATGTCATCTAAAAGAGGAGGGGAGGAGTGGAGGAGTAGAGTAGTGGAGGAAGATAGGGGAAGTTCTCATTAATGTGAAAGCCTTTAACAGATGTGTCATGGCCTTAGCTCGATAAAACAGTAATGTTAGGGCACATTAATAGCATGCCAACACACACACATGCACACTCATATTTACAGTAGGATGGAGAATCTTCTTGTGTTAACTTTGTGGCACAAATAAAAATGTCACTATCAGATACAACCAGCAAATATGCAGAAAGATAAAATGTATCTGTGTGAAAACGTTGACATTCCCACAGGACCTGCAGCTGATACACTGAGTGCATTTTTCTGAAAAAAAAAACAGCAACAGTGCAATGGTGGGAAGTGTGGTGTTTTTCAGACGGGCTGGGTTGAAGAATGCGGCCCTGAGGGTTGATGTCTGGTGTGGGCATGGAGCCAGAGCTCGCCCAGACCCAGCAGGGGGCTGACACGTCCATACTTTGTTACAATCAATGAGTCAAGTTGAGGGGTTTCGCTCAAAAACAAGGACAGCTGTTTTTATATAATGATTACCAGACTGAATGTAAATGTGAAATGTAATCAAGAACAGACGTTACCAGACAACACCCTTTGGCTGAAAAAAAAAAAAAGTAAAGTAAAGCATGAATATTAAAACAAGTTTTCTCAAGATATATTTCTTGTAAACCCAAATGAGAGCACAGTTATACAAAAAGTATAGTGCAACACTTTTGCATACATCTCATTTCTTGTAGGTTCCTCAGGATCATTGGTGGGGACGGCCTACTGCTATGGACACCCCCATCCCCATTTGTCCATATCCTTCTTCCTGCATCTTCCTCATCCCCATTTTTCAAGCCCAGTGCACTTTTGGCAGAAGCTGTTCATCATGAGTCTGGTTTTGCCCAAGTTTTCAGCTTCTTAAAAGGACGCTCTTTCCTGCCACTGTAACTTTGCTAAGTGCTGTGCTCATGATGGATTAACGTCGGGTCTTTGTAACATAACAAAGAGTAAGGTCTTTGACCTGCTTTTTGGAAAGTGTCTCGAGATAACTTTCGTTATGAATTGGCGCTACAAAAATAAAGATTGATTGATGAGTAATAGTGAACACCAAGGTTTTCAAGACTAGACAAGAATATGGGAAATATTTGAAAACTGAATTTAAACATTTTGTGTTTTCAATAAATTTAAATAGATTCCACATTTAAGTCAAAATGTCATCTGATTATTAATTGACAATTTTGTCCTCCCTAATACCTCCAAGTTTTCAAACACTTGGTTCAAATGGATAAAAAAAAAAAGCTTTGATATGTTTTCTTAAAAGACTCCTAAAATGAGTCGTTCTTCTTTTTATGGAATAACTTGGCTCCAGGTTTCTGTATTTTAGATGTGATTTTATAATTTCATAAACTTTACAAGAACAAAATGTAAATGTTAAAGTCAAAAAAAGTGAAAAAATATTACAAACTCAAATTTACAATTTTACATTTTAATGGCAGTTAATACTACGAATCAGGCCTCTGGAGGTCTGAAAATGTATTTTTTCCAGCAGCTCTCATGTCACACTCACACTGACATTCAACAGGACCTGTCCTTGGTACTGAAATTAGGCAGACTATTAAATATGAGCGCTAAAAGACAAGATGTTAAACAACTGGAGGCTACAGCAGATCAAGTCTACAGTTCAGCGTCAACAACTCTTAACTTGACACTGTGGGGGATTTCCAGAACATTACAAAGCAGTGACGAAGCCCTCTCCACATCAACACTGTGTCGTCAAATCTGTCATCAGCTCCAAACAAGAGGGTTCAGTCTCACACTTAAATACAAACACACAGACACACACACACAGTAAATATGCAGTTGGAGCACTACTGTAAATGAGAGCATTCCTGCAGCCCTGACTGTACTTAAGAGCCAGATCCTGCCTGGTGAACACACAGAATAACAGACCTAGCAGGTGTGGAATGCCAGCTATGACAGGCACACACATGCATGTTGGCTCCATGTTGCAAACCAAAACACCTTATAATGACAGATGCTGCACCCGGGGTGCTGCTTGGGGGCCCCTCCCAACCCACGACCGTTGGCTTTCAGGCACACTTCTAACAATGGGACTGCACTTTGTGGCAGTAGATCTGCACTTTGGTATAAAAACAGAAAGAAATGGTATAAAAAGAAGGTTATCAAACGGCAAAGAATAGCTCCATGGTTCAACTCAGAAATCTGTACTCTAAAACAATCGTCGCAAAATTTTGAAAGAATATGGCGCTCAACTAAAATGGTAGAATCTCATTTATTCTGGCAGGATAGTCATAGAAAACATATGAAGGCTCTACGTCACGCTCGAGCTGCCTACTACTCCTCTCTAATCGAGGAAAACAAAAGCAATCCTAGATACCTTTTCAGCACTGTAGCCAGGCTGACAGAGAGTCACAGCTCCATTGAGCCTTGTATTCCTTTAGCCCTCAGCAGTAATGATTTCCTTAGCTTTTTCAACAACAAAATTCTGGACATCAGAGACAAAATTAGTAACCTCTTGCCCTTACCTGGTGCAGATATGTCTGATACAGCAGAGACAGTTCCAGGACCAGATATTAGTCTACTACTACTCACACTTGTGAGTTGACACTATACAAATAAAAATTGATTGATTGATAAAACTAAGTATGTTTAAATATGGGAGTGAAGTGACAGAGAGAGAGAGGAAAAAAAAGTTTATTTAGTGTTTATTTAGAGAAGACAACAGGAAGAGAGACCTTGTGTGCAAACACAGATGGGCTGAAGCACAATTTAACTAGAGGGTGTGAAAACACAAACACACTTTTGGAGTAAGTATAAAGGTTTATTTGAAAAGGCACAAACCTTTGACCTCTGAGAACCAAAATGTTAAACATACAATGAGAAAAACAATACATTTTTCATTTATTTATTTATTTACCATTCAATCTGTTGTAGAGCTTGTACAACAAAACTTAGCTTCACTTAGCTCAGATAAAACAATAGCTTCCGTTACTCAATTGTGTTTCAGTCACTACATAATCGCATCAAGTGACGGTGTCAGGACACACAGACACTGGACGTTAATCATGTTTCTATGTGATAATCAAAACAAGATTATGATAACATGGCCAGCTGAAACTGTACGAGCAGGGACAAAAGTGTGAAAAGTAAAGAGGTTATACATCAGAGACCACAAACACAAAACATTGTAAACATTTACGATATAAAGCATTAACCTCAAGAGATTCTAGAAGAGGTATTTCTTTGTCACAGTGAAGACCAAACATTGAATGAGCTGTTTAAGGTTATTGTTAAGGCAATTAAAAATAACAAATGTGTTAATGAATGCTCCAAAAACAAGTTTCACTGTCAGGCTGGATATGTAACTGTGCCTCCCATAAAATGCTACACTTAAACAATCTTTATAAAACATTTACTGAAGTCATACTTTTATTATTCTAAGGTAGTAGAGCTGCATCCAGCAGGATAGGATACTCAAGTTTACATAACCAACGTAATAACTTTCTGTGCGTATAACAGCAATTCAGTTCATGTAAGTAAATAAACAAGCTGCCCCCTTTTCAGTTGAAAAGCTTAAGACATGTTCAACATGTAGCGTCATTGTACGATTTCTCAGTTAATTATTTAACACACAAGAAATTAATGGAATTATAAGTTTATGAAAAGTTAGAATTAAATTTAATTCAAGATTGTTTGCATACACCGACTCTCTATGCACAGTAAACATCGTACAGAGAGGATTCACACATACAGCATATATGACACGCACAATACAGCTGCATGTCTTCTTTGGCATATGACACAAGATGTGCAAATACAGCATTAAGCTAAGGCTTCAGTGATGCGTTTCTTGCTTTCCAGAACATGTTCATGTGATGTGCAGGAAGTTAAAAGGTGTCTGGAAAGAGCGGTGGGTCCTGAGAACAAAGAAAAGCAAAACAGGAAGATGATTTTAGAATGTGTGCAGGAGTAGAGAGCAGCTCCACTGAGCCGAGCCTTGGCACTGAGTGAAGAAGGTCGTAAACTGAAAACCCCCGGGAGGAAATAAAGTCTCATATAACAACTAATTGACATAGTGATCACTTTTAAAATATTTATAATGACACAGTGATAGTTCCTTCAGATGACTGGAATATAAAATGACAATGTTTTATAGTTGTGTGTGTGAGAGAATACCTGAATGTTTTTCTTTAGTGTAGGATGCTCAGAAGAGCCAGTGATCTCCTCTGTGACCGGGTCAAGGTCAATGTCATAGAAACAGGGCCGGGTGGGTAGACCAGGCATGGTGCTCATCTGATGGAAACAACACAAGAGAGGGTTGTTCTCTTTCTTTTAATGGCAGGAAGAGAAAGAGTAAGTGAAGGAAGATGATTTGGTTTTATTTTCATTTTAAATTTAGAAGGTTACAAAAATGGCTGAAACACAGATAAGCACTTAGGATCTGAGCAAACCTTTCAAAGACTTGAACTAGAGTTACCCCCCCGTGGTTGAACCCTTTTCTCAACAAACCATTCATGTTGCAGATTGTGGGATCCAAATCTGTCCAGACTTGTGGTGAACACTGAAGTATTTTTTTTAAAAGTACTACAACCACAAAAAAATGTATTAGTTCATTTTTGAGTCAAGTAGAAGTTTGTGCCGAACGACAAACTGGAAGAATTTTCCAAAAGGCTTTCCTTGGACCTACAAGATTTGGACGGCATATCTTGTAGGTCCAAGGAAACCATGAAGCCTCAGGTCTTCCAGGGCAGAGGCATTAAAAACACCAACATCAATGTTCGTTGATATTTTAAACATTATATTTAAAATGTAAGGTGTCACAAGAAACATAAAGGCACATGAAGGGTAACAAATTATACTCAACTAAAAAAAAAAAAGATCGTTTTATCAATTTTAGTGTTCTAAAGTTTGTGGGTACTACAATGTTGTTTATGCCTTTATTTAAAGACAGGACATTGGATAAAGTCAGAAAACGGGGGGGGGGGAGTGAGAATTGACATTCAGAAAGAGAGCCACAAGTCGGATTCTAACCGAGGCGGCTCACTTGGCGGATCACAGCCTCTGTACATGGGGGCGCGCACTCTAGGCTATCGGCACAAGACAACATTCACATAAAAGAAAACACTGAAGAGGAATACAGCCTCCAAACAAAGACACCTCATCTTTTAGTTTCATAGTCAAGCTAAGGCATCTGTATTCAAGCAATCTTTATGATCAAAGTGCACAGACAGTTTGATTCAAACAGCTTAATGATCATTTATAACTGAGGAAGAAGAACTAGCAGCTGGTTCATAATTTTTTCCTTTAAGTAGGAGTCTCATAAAATGTCAGTGACAAAAGAGCCAACTGAGAAGGTAAGATTGCAGTCTGGATAATAACTCCAACCTCATATTAAAAGCCCTCTGTCTAAACACAGCTGTACAAACCGAAGACTTAGTATCAAACCATCAATGAGATAGAAAAAAATCATCCACCCAAAGGTTCAATGACTATAATCTAGAGTCATTTATCTCCGGGCAGAAAGATGATCAATGTGTTGACAACATCCACTTTAGCAGAGATGACTCTGGACACAGACAACGGCTGCTTTGTTCACACTGTTGTTGTCATGATATAGATAACAAAAGGCTACCTCACAGATAGGAGACAAAGTTAAGAGACACTATACAAGGTCATACTCTGCTCTGATGGATCAGCGTTACTGCAGGAAGGACGAGGGTTTGAAGAAACTAGGTTTTAAAGAATTAAATTTTGTTTTGACTAAAAAAGAGAAGCAATTTGTGTTGGAAATAGTCAAGAGTTGTTCAAAGTATTCATCCTAAACTGACAACAGAGAAATGTGGGTCAAATTAATAAAAAAAATAAAAAAAAGAAGTCATTTCAAAAGTGAATTGTAGCCATGTGAAGCAGAGTGGAGACAGACTCAATTAGATACGAACAAACAGACTGATAATGGGAACTTTTCCTAATGGAACTATTACATTTGTGCCAATAACAGGAGAGGGAGGATATGTAAGGAAACAAAACCAGTTATTGTCCGCACTAATCTGAATGTAAAATGAAAAGTCAATGAGTACTTGTGTCAGTTGTCTGAACCATCGTTTGTTTTTGTTTTTTTAGTTAAAATTGATCATGTAACTGTTGGACTCAAAAAGCGCTTTTCTTCTCCCTAAACCGAGCTTGATCACGCCGTCCCAGCTAAAAAAAGTTAATTATCTCGCTCATTAGACAGTGAGCGACATTCTTTGCATGCCTCCCCTCCTTCTGACCCAGGGCGGCTTTACGAGCCCATTAGTCCGAATGAGACAGAGGGAAGTGACCAGCCAATTTCCTGTCTGAGGAAACGCGACTCTGCATGTAAAACGAAAAGACGAAAACGAGGTGTACGTGCTCACACGGTGCGACAGAGTTGATGCTTGACAGCTCTCTGTTTTTTTGCCATGTCTGATGTAAACAATGAGTGCTGTCAAATGACGCTGTCGAGACCATCATCCATCCAGGATGTTAGCCACAGATGACTCAGACTGAGAGCAGATAGACAGCCATTTAATATCAGTGCATCATACTTTATCCTGGCGGGATGCATTAAGAACAATGATGGTAGAAGAGTGACATCATCCCTTTGTGTTGCTTTCAGTTGTGTGATGTCACAGTGTTCGAACATTGCATGATGTCACTATTAAAAAGCTCGTCGGAAAGAATGGATCATACAAAGTGCAGCTTCAATTTATTTACATTTACGTGGTAATTTCGGAAGAGTGCTGTATATTAGCACTTACATTAGCAACGGTGGCAAAGGCTCATGGGTATTTTGACATCATGCAGTTGTAACAGACTAAAAAGGATTCTTTTAGATAACGTCACTGTATTCAGGGAACTGAACTTGAAGCTCCAGCGAGGAGTTCTTAACTGATTATGAAACACACTAAGGTCTCTTTAAGACCGACAAAAGCTAAAGACATAATAATTGTATATAGTTTTTGTTCATGCCTGTAAATTCTTCAGGTACAGTATGTAGTTTATAGTGTCAAATCAGGATATTAAATCCCTGCAAAGATTCACAGGTAGTGAGACCTTTTGACAGTAAAAAGATAGCAGAATGAAAATGTTCCTTAGAAAACATTTAAACATTTACAACGGACAATCATTTAAGAGATTGTCACTTTGCCTACAGGGGGCACTAAAATGGAACTTCCTCACAGATTCACATTATAAGTACTTTACAATGCAATAATGATCAGCTGACTAAAAAACAAGGGAGGCATGCAATGTTGGTCCCCTTATAATCAACCTTATATAGATCTAATATCCATAGAAATGAGGAGGAATCCCCATAAAACGTGGTCAAAAAGCATACTGATGAACACATCAGTAAAGAGAAGCTCCCCATCAACCTTCACAAAGACCCAACACTTTTGCTTCTTTGCTCAATGAAATGTGCCAACAATGACTATCAGATTAAAAAAGGAGGTATGACTCAAAGGCTGTAAACTCATTCAAACATTTAAGCTAAACAGCTTTAACATAATTTGAGTCAAAGAGATTACTTTATTTGCCTCGCAGCTTTTCAATACAAAGTGTCAGGCTGCATAGTAAGATATCAAAATATGCTCAAATGTAAAGACAAACTGTCAAGGTTTTTCAAAGCAACAAAGGATGCGCTGTTCTGCCGGTCCTCCTCTCCAGCCTGAGAATAAGTTGGCAGTCACAAAAACACACAACACTCCACGGCTAAAGTTGGAAACTCCACTTGGCCAAATCAGTCCCTCTATTATACCCACACACAATGCGTCTTTGTCAGGGGAAAGCCTTGGGGAGACAATGTAGCTGGATTTACACCCCCCACTGACTCTGGAGGAGAGTCTGGGTCAATAACAGCACAGTAGCTACACAAGGGGATTGAGGAGATTATGAATTTTAATTCAATCGAAAACAATTATGCCATTTAAGTTTAATGGAGCATTACAAAGGAGATAAGAGTTTCAGATTGAATTTTAAATATCTTCAAGTAAAAAAAGATACACCTCATGTTGGGCTTTAAGTAGATTTAATGATATATTGTTGGCTGCAACAAATGTGAAAAATCAGAGAGTAAAATGACTCACTGAACAGGAACTTCTTCAAAATCTAGTCGAACTCTAACCTGTGAGAGTGCACAGCTTCTCCGTAGGGCACTTTGAACTCGTAAACATCAGAGGATTAATCATGAGCGGCACTCACACATCAGAGATAAAGTTATTCATACAATAGCTCTGGTTTCTTTAGATGATTAACGACGAATCTTTAAAATCCTGTTTGTATTTTCATGCTGTGTAGTAGCAAATCAATCTTATCATCTCCTTGTCTTGGAATCAAAAGCATTTTTACTCCATCTCGGTCTCAAGATTTTAAATCAAGACTGGTCAAGACCACCACTGATTGGCTATTTTTCCACATCATTACTGTCATTTGTAGGAAAATGCCTATTTCTAAAATAATGAATAACTTGTTTTTATTCTCCAGTTACTGCCGAAACCTTCCCGGTGTTGGGTCTAAGTAAGTGATGCGCCCGCTCCACACAAGTTGGTGATTTTTCAGTGATATTTATGGTCTTGGTCTTGCCCTGTCTTGGTCTTGGTCTTGACTCTGTCTCGGAACACTCTGGTCTTGGGTATGTCTTGGTCTCGGTCAGTGTGGTCTTGACTACAACACTACTGTGTATCTATATTTGCGTTGCTTTTACTGTAACTGAATAATAATGAAAACACACAATCCAACAGATACAAACAAACTGGTCTGAGTGTGTTATCTGTTGCCCTTTCTGATATAATTAAAATGAACCAAATATTGTCCTCATGTCCCTTCCCTCATACATTATATATCATTCATTTTGAATGTCAACTGGTTTTATCTAAGTGGAATGTCCAACCAAAGAGGGGGGGTCTTTATAAGTCTGTACTGTGTTTAATGGTACAGAGGCAGCTCTAACGGGATATGATCTCTACAGAGATCTATTGTTGCTGCTAGCGACCCCTCCCTCAACATATCTGAAGAGTGACATCAGCCCCTTCCTGATTCTTACCCCTATAAAAGACCCTTTTCTCCCATCCCCCTAACCCCACCTCCTCCTCCTCCTCCTCCTCCTCTCACATTTAGGCCCTAATCACCTCAGGGTTTCTGTTTGTGATAACTTTCCACCTCCGGGAGTCAAGTGGAGCCTGAGAGTTTGTAGATGACTTTGCCAAACTTTTATGAAGTAAAATATGATTGAAAAATGTTTGATAGAAGAAGCTGTCTCGTGAAATACTTTTAGGTTTGGCTTTAGGTGATGGTAGACAGAAATGAACATGTAGATTCTCACTGTAGCCTCCCTGCAACATGCAACATGCAAGCCTCCTCAATATCTTTGATATGAAACTGGGGTGATCTCTCCAGGTCCTCTTGGGCCTTTTAATTCAGGACAGGATCAAATGATTAGAAGAACTCATCATTTAAAAAAAAAAAAAAAAATGTTTTCTGGAATATTTTGAGAACCTTGACTGAGGGTTTGACTTGTGCTTTGAATAACTTCAAAAATTCTATCTATGGGTCAGTAAGGCAGACAGTCATTGCCCCTCAGAGTTCAAAGAGCAGTCTGGAGACTCCCTTTGGGTTAGGAGTCACAGTTCAAGGGATGTCAACGTGACAGTGGCTCCGCAGGTCGCAGCAGATCAAAGGACATTTTGGGAGACTGGACAGACGCCACACCAAGACGCTGCCCATGCCTCCCCAGCATGCCCGGCGTTTGACACCTTTGCCTCAGCCTATCAAAGCCTCAACCTGAGGGCAGGCTGGTGAAACAGCAGGAGGCAAAAACGCTAAGGAGGCTGCTTCCTTCCTGCCCTGGCCCATCATCATCAACCATCAACCAAGAGGCTCCAGCCAGCCCGACTCAGGACTAACCAGCTCAGTTATATGGCAGTCAGGAGAACAGGACAAATACTGTAGTATCTTCTGTTTAGAGCTTTAAGATGGTTATGAAACAGAATAAACTCATAATAATGACCCTCTATGAGTTACTAAATAAAAGGAGACAGTCAAAAGAGCGGATTGATTACTTCTACGTAGTTATTTTAATAATTTGCAACCCCTGCTGCAAAATAGGTTTTAGATGTTGGGATGGATAGCATGCTGCTAAAACAGCCTATTAAACAATTTCTACAACAAACATTCATAAAAGGATTATTTTGTCGGAAACACTGTGTACTGTACATAACATAATCAGGCAGAGTTAAATTGTTCCGCTTTGGCACAACTTGAAAGTTCCTCACAGGAGCTTTAAAAAAACAAGCCCTGAGTTACACATCACAGAGAATACAGTCAGCATTCATCTTCTGATCAGAACTTTTTCACATTTGAGTAACTGACCGTTCCCACAAGTGGGTAGATGAAGCCAGCCCCGATACTGGCGCGAACATCTCTGATTGGCAAAACAAATCCTGTTGGAACACCCTTCTTGTCAGGCATGTGTGACAGGGACAGGTGAGTCTTGGCCATGCAGATAGGCAATGAACCATAACCCTGTGTATAGGAGAACAAAGAAACAGGAGAAGTGGTTAATATCTGTACATTTATTTCAGGGAGAAAGTGAGACTTAAAGAGACACTGTGATAGGAGATGAGCTGAGGTAGTCAGATGTTATTGTAGCAGCAGCAGCAGCAGCAGTGATCTCACCTGTTGATTGTAGTAATCTATCTTGGCCTCCGCCTCTGGAGACAGCTCGATGTCATCAGCTCCATACACTCTCTGGGCAATTGTTCTGATCTTCTCCACTATTGGCATCTGTGGGAAAGACGGCGCATCAGAGACGCATGATGAGCACTCCAGTCACAGGGAATTAGATTTAGTGAATACACATCCGCATGATGTCACACAGGTAACTAAAAGCTACACATACACAAATGACATCATGGAATATGTTTGACTGTTTTAATATGTAAACTACATACTGCTTCTCTCTTTCGTGCTCTGCTTTCTTTGCAGTCTAAAATAAATACCTTTACTATGTGTGGACCATGACAGCACAGCATATTAACCGTATTATAATATATTTAAATACAATCCCAATCGACACTACATAGAAGAGTTTATTTTGGATACTTTGGATACTCTGCTGATTTCTCCTTTAAAGACGAACTGGTGATTCCTTCCAATCCAAGAGTCCTATCCTAACTCCTATAACCCCGCATAGCTGCCTTGTTAACTTGTAAATGTGAAGAATAAATATTCTACTTACTTATCATCCCATTTTACAGTACCTCAATTTGATTTGGTAAATAAAAACTAGAACTATTGTACTAAACTCTTGTAGTATTTGTAAGTGTACAGAATACACGCATACACGCATCAGCGTAACAAGATCAGTTAATTTAAGTCACAACTCTCCCAAAGTAATCTCCCTAACTGAAACCAGCTGATGTTTTTATACTGCAGCATTCTCTGGCTACAGTCTGAACGAAAACATCATCAGTCACTTCAAACAAAAACAGCTAACAATTCAAAACAGACATGACGTATGACTCGGAGTTGATCAATTATATGTAAAACAATGTTTTGAGGGGACTTTTTTAAATATAATTTTCAACCCAGAAACAGCAGATTTTCTTCCACAGGTTCTGCTCTCACCTCTTTGTGGTAGAGGAACTTGAAGTCACTGGGTCTGCTGGAAGCCTCTTTCACAGCCTGGGCGAGCTCTATGGATCCTCGCCCGCCCTGCGCCCAGTGGTGACACGGCACAGCGTCTGATGCTCCGCACTCTTTGGCTATCTGACAAACCTGATCGATCTCTGCCTGAGTGTCTGTCCTGAAGGATCACCAAGGGAAATGTTGTTAGCAGTACTTTGCGAAAATGACAACACATTGTAAGTGAAGACAGTTATTTATGGAAAATTCTTTATGTATTTGTGGATGTGTGCATCTGAATGCATCTTACTTGAAGACATTGAGCGCCACCACTACTGGTACCCCAAAAAGGTGCGCTATTTGGATCTGCTTCCTGAGATTGCTATGGCAACCACCTGCAACGAGGCTCAGGTTCTGCAGGAGAAAAAGGAAAACATCAGCACATGGTCAATTGTAATTCAATCATCTATATGAAGTACTATAGCTTGTGATACACCAGAGCACATGTGAGTTATCATAAAAAAAATCTAGGAAAAAGGACCAAAGACAGACAAAAAAAACTCAAACAAGAAGAAAATTGAGAGGCTGTGTGTGTGGATTAGACTTGCCAATTATGATAGCTTGGTGGTTAAGATTTAATTTGCCTTGTTACATTTTCGATCCAGAAGAGGTATTACAAGTTATTCCCACTTAAAAATGTTTTTTTTTATTTTTTTTTTTAATTGTTCTAAATACCTTTAAAGAAAAGTCCTGTTCTGTTCAGCAGTGCAGCAATTTTATGATTTTATGTCTTGATACATATTATGTGGGTGTAAAAATTTGCATTTCATGCTGCTACAAAAATAAAAATGTTAAAAATGGCCACAGACTACTTTTAGTATTCTTAAAGGAAAAACAGGACAACATGCTAATACCCAGGCGTAGTATGTGCCTCAGTAGTTCAATGGTTTTAATTCCATAATCAGAGAAATTAGGTAATAAAGTCAGAAGATTTTGCCTATATTGCAGAATCACTTTCAAAGCTGAAATTTAAAGTGTAAGAGAGGAGGTTTGAAAGTCCAGTGAAAGCTTACTTTGAGTGGCTTAATCGACTACTTTCCCATTAGCTGAACTTTCACGAACAAGTATGGAGCCTTTTACACAATTAGCTTTATTTATTTAATATGGTGCATTGTTTTTAAAATAGAATATTGTTGACATTGGGACTCATGTTCAGGTTCAGGTAGCCTCTTGCGCAGTTTCGGTAGATGGCTGTTCATCATGAGCCTCAAGATTTCTACCTCTTAAAGGGAAGTTTTTTTCTTGCCACTGTAACTTTGCTAAACATTGCTAAGTGATGCGCTCATGATGGATTAATGGTCGGTCTTTGTTATATATTAATGAGTAAGGTCTTTTTTACCTGCTTTTTGTCAAGTGCCTCAAGATAACACTTTTTATGAATTGGCACTATAAAAATAAAGATTGATTAGTTGATTGATTGATATTTTACTACAAAATATAGGGACTTAATAAACTGGAAGTATCCTGCTGTGTACGGTTCTTCATTGATCATTCTCATACTGAATAATATTATGTGCAAGTCCATTAATCCTAAGTATATTAACAGAATAATATACAGCTACTATAATTTGACTAAAACCTTATGTAGCACAGTGTGTTTGTGGAAGTGTGTTCATGTGTGTGCAGCCCCGGGCTCAGAGCAGTAAGGCCACACAGGTCCATAAATTCATTTCCCTGGTCCTGTTTTCTCCACTACTTCTGGTTCTCATTACTAGCGTCACAATTGACTTATACTACTTCATTATTTACTCAGCTGAAGGACCAGTGATTCCAGCCAGATATGAACATGCACACACACACACACACACACACACACACACACACCAAAAGAATTCCACCTCCACTCTGCTGAGGCCCAAATGCCCGGAAACCAAATGCAAAGGTTCTATTTGTGCTGTTAATCAAATAAGTGCTCTTAACCATGTTAATGGGCGAGGTATTTATGCATATAGACGGGGAATTAAATGTCTGTGAGACTACAGCTGGAGAATCAAACATACATCTCTACAAATGTGTTTAATGTTGGTCCATTTCCTGAGCTTGTTGAGGACGAACCTGTGTGAACTGTGCTGCAATAAGTCATCTTCATGCCTCTCAGATTTAGTCTACTCCTCTACATCTCCACGGAAGGTCAGGAGTGTAAGAGGCCCAAAGGGCATGTGGGGAATGTCGAGGACCACAAAACCACGTTAAGAGGTTGCTGTTTAACCTCTCAAACTGCATGGCTGCCACGACAAATCACTCCAAGAACACAACACAGGCACACCGCTAAAAAAAACCCTTATGTTAATGAGCATGTTGTTTCATAATTGTTGTCTTGCATTGACCATTGAGTTTAAATAGATTACATTATCTGGAAACACCCTGACCTTTTCATCTCATGACACAGGCTCAGCATGTTCTTGTAACTTCATTAGAAGTTATTGATCAACACAAGAACTCTTACACAAAATGACATATTTGTCTCCATAAGTTTGGCCCCTATTGTCTCTGTGGGTACAAATAGTATAATACATGTACATGGTTCATACCTCATCAATGTACTCTCTGGGAAGAGGTGCACCTGCTGACACCTGAAAACAGGAGAAATATATGTGTGTCAGTATATTACATTAAAAAATGCATTGCCACTCTTATTTGCAATGTAGACTGGTTGTTTCCTCGCCTTGTTTCTTTTCTTTTTTCAAAGAACAGCCTAAATATACCGCTAATAGTTTGGAACATTCATTCCCTCAAAGCTGAATTACCCAATAAATACCAGGAAATGATGTGCATAGTTCTTCAGTTATTATCTATTATATGACAATTGGCATTTCAAGGATTTTCTTAGAGTAAAACAACTTGATTGAATTGAGTGGTACCAGACAGATAATTAAACCATGGTCTACAAAAAGGGAACAAAAACCTTCACGCAACCTTGTGATGTTTCTCAGCACATTTTACATTGTCTGTTTGTAGACAAAGATAAACCTAATATGATCCGATAACCTAGTTAGACAGAAGTGGTTCTTCAAAAGCATATAACTCATTGTATTGGCAAAATAAAACTTTTTCCACCCGAGAGTCACATGCTAGTTCATGATCCTGGAAATCATCTATGCCATTGATTATTTAACTTCTACAAGATCAGATAGAACATCTGAGTAGACGCCTGTAATCTGACATTTTAAGGTTAGGGCTGGAAGAAAGTATGAGGTGAGGCAGTTAAGTTGAATAGGTTCAGAGCACTTCAAGCATACGACAGTGTTGATTTTTTGACTTACATTTGGTCCACCGCCATGCATCTTTAGCGCTCGGACAGTTGCAACAAGCACCACCACATTTGGTCTCAGCCCTGAAGCCTGACATTTGATGTTGAAGAACTTCTCCATCCCGATGTCAGCTCCAAAACCAGCTTCTGTCACTGTGATGAAACATGCAGAGTTAAAATAAATCCCTTTCAAAGAAACTAAAAATAGTTACATGTGTATATAATATATATATATATGAACTGAGAGAAACAAGTTCACACAGAGGGCCTCTGATATGAACGACCCAACACACAGGTTTCTTGAACGGGCTCCAAAACAAATAGTCCACCTGGAATGACGGTCTTGTTAAGATAAGGTCTCCTTTTAGTTGTCAGGTGTGTATGTGTGCGGCACCATTGTTCAAAAATTATTTCACACATACATATTTAAGTGCAGTTTAAAAACTTCTATTATTATTCTGATTTACTGCTGTGATTTACTGCTGTGTTGCTCTTGGTTAGTATTTCAAATTTAAGACAAAGACACCATTTGAAATGTGATTTAAGACAAAACCTAAACACAAAAACAGATTTAGGAGTGACAATCATTTTCTAGCTGCCAGTAAGTATTATTTAGTCTAGAGAGCATTTTGTGGCTGACCAAATTAAGTCTTCAAAACTAATCTCTATTTGTTTCTGGTTGATTAGATGAAAATCAAGCGAGTCAAAATAGACATATGTTGAAATAAATATGACTAATTAGAGCCAGGATTTAGAGCAAACTGCCACAAAAACACTTCCAGCACTTCAATGGACTCTGATGAAAACTAAAGAGCTATAGGTTCTATAAGTTTTTATGTTTTATCTAAATAGGGCACAAGTGTCTTGCTACAACTAAGGAGCAGAACAAAACTTTCTTGCTGTGAGAATCCTTCAGTTGAACTGTTTTCACCACTTTAAAATACATGTTGTTGAAGTAAAGTCCACGACTCCACACCAGCTGCTGTGTCACATTCTGTCGTTTCAATGTGTGTGTGGGCAGCCTATGTGTACGACATGATGACCAACAGCTAACCATGTAAACATCTTTTTATTTAATTAAAAGGATAATAACGAAACAGGCAAAGGAAGCATGTCAGGGGGTAAATGAAATTACTGTAATAAATGATGTGTATGTCTTTAACAGGCATATGTGTGAGTGCACAGATTGTATCTATACACTAAAAGCAGAGTTTATAGAAAAGCTGTCATGAAGAGAGGAGTGATTTCTAACACTATCTCGGATGGAAAATGTTTTATTTTACCAAGTCGAGATATAAAAAACAGCTTTCATATGTTTAAGCACATACATTGTTCCTAAATCAACCAAGAAGAAAATGATTAAAAGGAGGTATTATTCATGATCATCACATGAGTGGCCTTTAGTGAGAAAGTTTCACACTGTAGCTTTAAATGCTTGTGGCTCACACTTGATACGTCTCTCAGAGGCTTTAGTGAGAAAATATGCTTTTCCATGGAGAAATGAACCACTCTGCTCTGTGTGGCTCTCAGCGTTCTTAGAGAGAGTAGGATTTACTTCACCGGAGGCGCAAGGTCTACAGGAAGGGAGGGTAAGGCATTTACAGAAAGGAGGTATGAAAATATGAGAGACAATAAGAATCTGCTTGGGGGGGAGAAGAAGGAAAATAGTTTGAAAGAAAACACGAGAAACTTGATGACAAGGATTGAAGACTTTCTTGGAATATAAACAATACTGACGTAAAGCAGGAATTGTGGTTTTTGGGGTTCTGACTAATCATGTCCATTGTTTGTCACAAGTCTTTTTGAGTGAAGCGTAAAGCCTGAGGGATGACTAAAACTCATCTTTATTTGGCCAAATACAACTAAAGGAGGGAGTCCTGTTTCTGGTTAGCTCCATGAGAGAAGTTTAGCCCTGAATACTGAACACATCTGCCAATGAATATCACATTCTTAGATTCGGGATTTGGGGATATTTCCATTAATGCAATGCTCGCCCACAAACTGAGCGCAGCAGAAGTCCCAAAACACACGCACGATAAATCACAGCACAGCAGAAGGAAGAGAATGGAATAGAGAGACAGCGATTGTATAATGACAATGTGACATTACACCAAGCAGGAGATTGACCCCAGAGGATGTCATCCAGGAAACACTTGCCAACTTCCTGTTCTGTGTGACAACCTTGAACTTCCCAGAGAGCAGGAGGGGAAGAAGAGGTCGATGTTGTTGTTAGAAAAAGAAGAAGAAAAAAAAGAGTGCTGGATGGCATAACTACCAGCTATGCTTGGGTATCAACATCCATGCCAATAAAAACAACAACAATACGAGTGGAAAGTAGGTCAGAGCAACAAGAAAATCTACTGATAGAGTTTTCCACAACACGCTGGGTTACATCTAGTTGGGCTGCAACTAAAGATTATTTTCACTGTTGATTATTAGTTTAATTCAGCAGCTGTCTTTAAAAGGTCAGAAAATAGTGAAAAATCCCTCTTCTCTATTTTGCAGAGCCTGAGGTGTCTTCAGATGGCTTGTTCTGTCCCAAAAATAGTGCATAATAAAAGATAGTCAACTTGTGAAAATTTAAGAGAAGGAATATCAACTTAAGAAAATAAGAAAATCTTTATATCAGTCTACCAAATAAGCCCGGGTAAGCGGTTTTCGCAGCGGAAGCTAAACACAAGGATGGAAAGTCAGTGTGGGATATAGAGGGTTCCCAGCACACTCAGCTGTCTCATTACTGGAAAAACTGGGAGAATGTGGACAGAGTATGTGAAAGACTGTAAAGTAGATGTCAGAAAAATAAGACAGTGGATTTGGATTAAGAGATTAAATGTCAGATTGGGGCCAAAACAAAAGCAAGTGTGTTCCTCTTCTTCCATGCTATTCATTTTTCATGTGTAGTGACGGCACCAGGAAAAGTGGCATCTTCAACAAAATGATGCTATAGCACAAAGATGTTCTGCAGGTGTGTTTGATGGGAGGTGAGAGCCTGCATTGAGCCAGGTGCACACTTCATAAAGCTGTTGATGTGTTGACTCTTGCTGCCCATCTAGTTTCACGTTTAGGTTCAGGGGGCAGTAAGGGGCCATCAGAGCTGTCCTACCTGGAGCTTGCCTACACAAAGCCTCTGTCTTTCCAAATTTACAATGCTGATTGGGTTATTGGGGCCATTAAGGGCGCGGTCACACTGGTCATCTGTACCGTGCTGTACTCAAGCACGATTGCTTTAGTCAGATACAGCCTTGAAACTCTGGATTTCTCCATAATGAAGGCTGTCAGCGTTGTGTACCCGCATGCTTGTGCTCGTGCATGAAGTGTACCGTGCCGAAGCACACCTCTCCGAAGTGTGCCAAAGCCAAGGAAGTGTACCGTGCCTGAGCACGTGATGTGATCCTATCAAAAAAAGGTGCTGATCCTGATGAAGCAACTTGTAATAAATGCATATTGTTAAAAAAATCTATATGGGTTGAGACCGAAGGCAATTTTTTAAATTGTTAAAAATTACCAACTTAATAAGACTGACAAGTGTGTTTTAAGAACATTTCAACACCACAGAATCAAAGCAGGATCTGTTTACATATTATTTTGAGATGTTTAACATTCTGAAAAGTATCATTTCTCAGAAGTCCTTTTGCTAAAAGCCCCAAATGATTTGTTGCTCGAGTTCAGGGGAGGCTTTGCAGTGTGGGAAATGTTACAGTATGTCAGGATCAGGGGGTTATCTGTTTTTAATACTCCAGACGGTTAATGAAAAAGGAATCCCTCACATCTGGCATGTGGAATTCTCTCCGCCCCCGCAGCCCCCCTTTTCCATAACAGAATATCTCCATTTCAACTCCAGATTCCAAAGTGACTTAAAAAAACCACAATAGAAAAAAAAACAGACTGAAGAAGCATGGCCATGAGTTTGTTCTTGCGCATCAACACAACCTTCACTGAGTTCACAGAGAGTTCATGAACTTCCTCTGCCACATGAAGAGCCTTCAGATATAATTCAACTGAACTGTATGTTACATAGAGACACACATGGATATCTGAAATTGGGGAAAGTGGCTATGATGCTGCATGAAAATAATTAACCTGGATTAACTGATTTCAAGGGGAATTAGAAACAAGCGCTTAAACAATACAGACTTATTTTTGCCTCACCATGCTCATACAGCAAACGAATTGTCCAATTTAAGCATCAAAAAGGATCCATTGGGGTTGTTCTTCTGGCCTCCGGGCACATACATATACATGTCTCATATTTACCATCCTTTCACTGCCAGTATGGTGTGAGTCAAATCCTGAGATTTGAAAGATCTGAAAGGTCTCTGTAGTCTGTATCTAAAGGCTGAACAGTGTTCGTCAGATAGTAGGCCACTTTGTCTTTCTGTTAGATGCTGAGCACGTTCCACACACGTTTGTCGTTGATGAAACCAGATGCCTGCTGTTCCCTCAAACAAGATTACTAAAACTGGTGAGAGTGAACCAGGACAGCAAAGTTGGAAACAGAAACACCAAAACAGTTGTTAGGAACACTAAGTAAAAGCGATCCATTTTCCCAGATCAGATCTATTACGCTGATCTATATTGAAATACACACATGCAGTACAATGTTAGGATGTTGGATGTCCATACTAAACCACTACAACGTTTTTTGAAACATAAAGATACCCAGTTGTTCGCTTAATCCCCGGATGTGGTTTGCTGCTGCTCTGAACGAGAGGTTACGAGAACTTGACGTCAGTTTCTGCCGACGTATGTAGGCAGCTCTTTGAAGGACACGCCCACACAGAAGCTAACTCAAAATCAGTAAAGGGGGGGGGGGGGCTTAGAGACAGCAGCTGAAATTAATCGTTTCAGACAGAGGCTGAAATGAGGGATTTTACTGACACCAGTATAAGATCAATAAGGAGGTTTTTGAGCCACACATCCCGCAATGCTACTCAAAAGGTGTCCCAGACTGACAGATTTAATAGTGAAAGTGATTATAATAGATCTCCTTTAAGAGTTATCCAACCCTGTGCTGCAGAGACATCTGTGATTTTTTTTACTGTGTGTGAGCACTTTTGCATTCCGAACAGTCATTTGATGAATTATTAACATATTCCTATCGATTAGAGCAGCTCGGAAAAGACTCACAGATTCTATGATGTGTCCGTATCTCCAACGTCATCCCAAATGAAGTAGGTCATTTTATCTGTGTTCTTACTGGGAGGCTCAGTCCCTTTAGGCCTCATTAGTAAGTTCACATTTCAAGATCTTAAAAAGTCCCTTACAAATCAAAATGATGACTAAAACTTTGGAAAAAATACCCAAGATGCATAATAAAGCAGAATTATTTTGTGTATAAAGCTAGATCAATGAAAAAAGTTATGCATGTGGAGAACGTTTTCATTTCTTTGCTGTTGAGTTGTTATTGTTCTCAGTGGTGACAGGGAAAAGAAGTCAAAGTTCATTGCATCAGAGAAAAGAGCTTGGGAGAAAAATAGTAAGAGGGGGTACATGCATCCCAGCTGCAGAGGGAGGAAAGGGAGGGAGGTCGAGTTCCTGACATACCTGAGGGTCAGGTAACAAACACACAGACGGGGAAGGGAGGGAACGAGACAGACTGATGGAAAACAAGCTGGGTGGAGAGGCGGAGGTTTAAAAACCTACACATGCCTCCCTGCTTCACGGCTCCAATGTTGTGAAATCCAACTCTCTGCTCATGCTGCCTACACTTCTGCCCAGCTCACAGATGACAGCTTGTATACACTTCAACTTTTAAGTCACCCTTCTTCAATTCTTTTTTAACCTGTTTCAGCTCTAAAACACTAAACGTGTCCCACATGCTGATGTATACGAGCCTGGACATCAAATGTATCTGACAAATATGACAAACTGAAAAACACACAAAGAGACACACACATTCTTTGCATAGTTCTGCAGCCAAAGTAAAAGAAGACAGAAAGCGAGCAGCAGGATAGATAGACAGATAAAAATGGGAATAGTCAAGTATGCTTTGACGTTGAAGGGATTAGTGTGGTTTACTCTGAGGCATTCCAGGGGCTTTTAAGATTATCAATCAGCTTCCTTCCTCTCTCCTGTGTGTGGGTGTGTTTTTTTTTGTTTTTTTTTACGCAATCCTTCCACAAGTTTCCTAGAAAGTTACACTGGAGCAAAACAGCAGACCAATAAGTCACAGAAAGGTAGAGCAGAGCCAGAACCAGAACTGAGCTCTCAATGTAGGCTAAAGGTTGCAAGAGCATGGGAAAAGAGTGAAGACCATTACTTGAGTCAAGTGTAAATGATACTTCAAACATTTAAGTACTCCACATCTGTACTTTTCAATTTACATCTTGTGGTTTGTGGGTTTTGTGGTCTAGTATCTACCTTGGCTTGTGTGTGTGTGTGTGCGATCTGTACGTGCAGACTGTGTGTTCTCTTACCCACAAAGCCGTCCCGTCCGACCAACTTCAAAGCCAGCTTGTCTGCCAGCACCGAGGAGTTGCCATGGGCGATGTTGGCGAAAGGCCCAGCATGGACAAACACTGGCGTACCCTGCGACAATTAGAGAAGAACACAAAAACATGCGGGAGGAGTTTAGAAAACAGCGTTACCCACAGCAACCCATCCAACCAAATTTCAATAAAGGCTGACCAACTCTACATTCAACATCTCTCAGAAGAATTCCAGAATAAATATTGTAGTGTGGACGCACTTTGGCTGCCACTGTGTTTGTCGAAAAACAAGTTAAGAGGTACTCGACTGGCGGCCTGACCCGTGAGCCAGGCTTCCTCACCCTGCTGATTTAGAAGAATCACTGAACGCCCCACAAAGACACACAAACTGGAAGAGAACTTGTTACCAGTGTACGGGTCAGGAAGACACTGAGGCCTCTGTAGTTATATTCACTATCAAAACTCACTGTTTGGCTCTGTAGATGTTACCAATCAGTATTAAATCAATATGTGGAAATCAACTTTGCAAGTAAGGAGGGCATACAATCTACCAGAGCATGTTAAGAAACAACATGTGTAGAAAAACAGTTAGTGTTGAGATTGAAATACTGTTAAAAAAGAATGAGATGCTCCATTTTTGTCTTGAAAGGACTTGGACATTGTTTTTTTTTAATTTGTTTGAAACGATGGAATGATAGATTGAAACAGATGAAATGTTCAATAATAGTTTTGGTTTTTCTTTCTATCGTTTTGCTGGCTAGAGCAACATTCCCTCTGAATTATTCAGAGACATTTTGCTGTGTGTACCCAGCTTAGACAAGGCAGGGCCTCAGAGAATACAGTTGACAGGGAAAGGTTGACTCCTTAAGATCAGTCTGACTTTTAAAATGGAAGTTAATTAAAAGAATTGTCATAAAACAAACCGGGGAAGCCAAATAACCTATTGTAACACACTGCATGTGAATTCCTTGAGAGGGAGGAAAAAGGATAGACGGGAAGGCAGTGCATAATTTTCTAAGCTTTTGTTTGCATACCTCTCCCTCTGCCTGCATAAACAGCCTCCCCTCGGAGGAGTAAATCAGCCATTACAACCATAACAAAGCTCTGACAAACCAAGACGCTTGTCTGTGATCTGATGTAAACTAGTAGTAGTGCAAGAAGAGAAGGAGGGAACGCACTGGAAAAGGAATTGATTCAATGTTAAAAGAGAGAACAGGGGCACAATATAACAAAAAAAAAAATCTTTCCAGTAATTTTATTCAGTCACTAATATGTACATGTCTTCATTTCAATGGAAAGTCAACACGTCATACATTACAAGGTTTTTATGTCTGTTAAAAACACCTGAACTCCTGCTTACTTCACGCACTTTCCACATCCGTTTGCGTATGTGAAAGAGTGACACTAATAAGAAACAACAGGGTGATGAAAGGGAGATTTACCAAAAGTTGTGTGTCACCTTTTCAACTGGTGGACAGGAGGATTATGAGGATAAAGGAAGTGAATGAAAACAGGGAAACAGAGATCATGTCACTGTTTCCTCTTTCCGTGCATCTCTTTTATCTGTCTTTGTACCAGCTGTTGACCAGTGAAATGATAACCAAAATGTTCCCAGTCTAGATTTTCCCAGGTCTATTCTACGGTCTACTGCCTTTCCAGTGAATGCATACAGTAAGTCGAGTAAAGCCCCACGTAGACAGGATGTCTAAAAAAAATGCATAGAATGGCTGAGGTTAACTTAAGAGATACATACACAGGGAGTGTATCCCCTTTCCTCTTGTGCTACATCATCTCCTCTGCACTTACCCCATCTGAAACAACACAGAAATACATCCTCTAACACAAACACAACTTCCATATGCCCACTGTATTCTCATGTGTGCATCTGTATTCAACGCACACAATCACAAGTGAAGAGGGCACAAAGGGCACAGGCGGTCAGGCTCCATGGAAAATTCTCATGGAGTGCTGAGGCCAGCTCGGTCCCAATACCAGTTCCCCGACCAGAATCACAGGAAACCCACACAGGAAATGGTTTAACACAACACCACCGCAACGTTTCCTCCAAAAAAACAGAAAGTAACCGAATCTCTGCAGCACGCAACACTACATCCCCTCTACACCATTGAAAACATGCAGTGTTTATTTTCTCCACCCAATGGCCATGTAATCATGCTCTCTGTACGGAACCAAAAGGACCAAACAAGTGCAAAAAAAAAAAAAAAGCCTTTCAACCAAAACACAGAGGTGTTAGCAGAAGCATGACTGCAATCACTGTCAACTTCAAAACAGTAAATCAATCCAACAGAAAAAAAACATTTAACGCTATATTCTGTTCAAGGATGAATAGGGATAAAATGTAAATATATATTTCTAATTCAAGAATAGGCTTTAAAAAACAGACTCACTGGAAAAATAGTACCTTCCAATTAACAAAACTAATTATTGGAGAAAGGAAAAAATAAATACAACTATGCTTGACTGATTTTTTTCCAGGGTCCCAACCTATATGGTTTATTACCACCACCAGACTTCTTAAAAACATGTTGTTTTTTTTTTTTAAATGATAAATGCCAACTTTATTTTTGCAACATTGATCAAACTCAAAACCTTTTTTTCTAAAACGTACAAATATTTAGTTTAGAGCTCATGTGCAGGGTTTTTAGCTGGTAATGAAATACTGATATTTATTCTGATGTCTCTTTATGTCCTACATAAGCAAATGAGACAATCAACAAAAAGACTGATTCTTTCTATATAGATATTACTAATGCCTGAATCCTCTGCTCCAGGGTAGGTGTTTGACAAAGTGAGTTAAAGAATTCTGCAGAAACAGCCCATGGTTACATTCTCCTCTTCAAAGATTCACAGAGAGTGATACATTTGTCTGTTCAACGGAAAATGGATGAACATTTTTTTTAGAAGAAGTACTTGCTCATTTTACAGGACAACACCAGCAAAGAGATAACAGGTCCCGCTTTGTCCACAGGGGGCGCCAAAATTAGCACAAACCAGAAGTCCCTCACAGGAGCTTTAATAGCACAGAATTTCTTTTTTTAAGAGTTTAAATGTTTACATCAAGGCACTGTAGAAAGTGTAAAAGTATTTTCTAGCATTTTGCTTAGAAATGTCTTGAAGGGCAAGTTTATAATAAAGATAGTTTCAATTATATATATATATATATATATATATATATATATATACGTATGAATTCACACATGTGCAAACTTGGTTGCTTCTTCAGATTACGCTCTGCTGTTCCAGAAAGGGCCGAGATAAAGACTGCGATAAATGATTGGTCTCTTCTCAGTGTATTTAAGCCATTAAATCTAACCCCTCCATTTCTGCATCCATCACCTAGAGGGTGGGGCTTTTTCCTCGAGACCAGGGGCAATCCGGGGTCCCTGATAGTGTATAGTATATATGCCTGTGAGATCGCATGTCGCTGCATCTGGCGAGAATGTCTCAAGCAAAATGAAAGCCAGATGTTTTTTAAGGCAGAGTTAAGGTATAAGTCACCACACCGGTTGTCAAATTAAATTGTTTCATTAGGACAGCATGAATCTAGACTGACTGGCCTCTTCTTAGAGAAGTCCACCTGTCCTCTCTACGCAGCTTAAATGCTATTAAGATAAAGACCTAGGGGAGGAAAATGTCAATCTATCATCCTTACTTAAAAGCTCTCAACGGAGCACTCTCTCTCCTCCCTTTTCTCCTCTCTGACAGCAGGGGTAGAGGTAAGCCTAATGCTAACTTCCGGTTGTCTCTGTGGAGTGCTAGCCGATTACTTTTACAAGACATACACCAGAAGAGGCTCAGTTGAGCAAGGTAATGACTATTTAAGTGGGGTTATGTGCGTGTCTCACCTCGAGGGTCTGCATCAACGTAGGCTTGATGGCATCTTTCATTAAGACGGCCAGAGCTCCACTCACACCCTGTCAGGGAGGAAGAGAGAAAAATGAGGGTGGGGATTTAAACAAGACCTGACAAAAGTATGAACTCACTAATGAAAACAACTCATAATTATGTATGTAGGATCATCTGTGTTGCAGAAAATAGATGATAAATGACACTACAGACATGTCTACTTCTCTGTCCCTTATGCTATAACAACTTTTTGCCTGGTCAGCAGTTTTAACACACATAAACCATATTCTTACTCAGGCATGCCATGAGGTGTAATATTGATATTTCTGCATCCAGGCTAATCAGAAAGACTAATGTAATTTAATAGTCCTCCTCTACGGCTCTGAAAAGACACAGACTGCAGCCCTCGTCAGAAAACCAGAGCCAGCTGACCCCACAGATGGATCCAGTAAAAGTGGTTAAAAACTCTGGTCAACATCGGATTAAAGGTTACACCTATGTTAGACATGTTGTTTTGAAGAAGGGAGGAAATGCGTTAGCGTGTGTGCTGGGACAAGTGGGAATTTGGACATTTCTAAGCAGCTGAACGTTACATAAAGGACAGTGGGACATGTTTGGGGCAACAAAAAACTCTTTCAAAGGAGTAAAAAAAAAAAAGAAGCATACTCAGGGCGCCAGGCATCCCAGCGGTTATGTTGTGCACCTATGTACAGAGGCTATAGTCCCCATTGACCATTGGTTCGAATCCAACCCTCGCCCTTTGCTGCATGTCATTCCCCACTCTCTCGTCCCAACATTATACATCTCTCTTGAGCTGTACGGAAAAAAGGCCAAAATGCCATGACACATAATACAAAGGATCTCGGACCAAATACTTTCATTGTAAATTCTGAGATGTAACAACGACAAGCCAGCAGTGTTTTTTTTTTTTTTTTTTGGTAGATAGGACAGCTGAAGTGAGACATTAAACGCTGGGAGAAGAGGGTGGGGGATGACATGCAGCAAAGGGCCGAGGCCAGAACCGAACCCACAGTCGCTGCAGTGATGAACCTCTGCACATGGGACGCATGACACAACCGCTAGCCTAACCTGTGCAAACCGTGTTATTGTCAAATCTTCCACACTCTTCCAATGAAAAGTAAAAACACACCAGGTCTTCTGCGGTGACAGGCTGTCCGGAGCGACTGGTCCCCACCACCATGCGCGACAGTCTGTTTTTCATGTCCTCCAGGCTGTCTGCAAGAGCCAGGATGGCCATGATCTCGCTGGCCACTGCGATGTCGAAGCCAGTCTGGAGGAGTGAGAGGAGTATTTTTTCAGCTAGTGGAAGTGATCAAACATGACATAGAAAAGCTGACAGTCTGTCGTGTTATAGCTGTTATTCTGTTAAATTATGTAAAAATTTTGCAGCGAAATCTGGGTTGACTGCTTACTAAAGAATCATAATTTGATGAGTAAATAAAAAGAAACATGAAACTTTTCAATGGATCTGAAGACAAGAGATTAACTAAACATAGCAATCACGAGCTGTATCACATGGGCAACACAGTCCAAGTTTTATGAGCATGGCGAAATTAGGAGCACTGACTGAAGGCAAATTTCTTCAAATAAGATTGAAAACATTTTGTTTTTCAGTATTGATTTACATCAAACTATAATAAAAAGAAGTGACATGTAAAAAGCAGAAACACTGACTGAATGAGAGCTTTCCTCAGGGAAGAGCGTGGAATACCAAAACAGTCTTCGTTCCAGATTACACACAAAAAAAGAAACCTAACTCAAACCACATCTATCCACTGAGGGACATTTCTATACCTACTCCTGGTGATAATACCCGGAGGGACTATAGAGTATCCAGTGCTGCAGGAGAGGTGGTTGACAGAGGAATGAGAGAGAAAGAGAGCGGATGAACCCATGGCGGTAAATGTTAGCATATGCTGATCTAGCTCAGAGGCTGTCCCAGGTGTGTGTGTGTGTGTGTGTGTGTGTGTGTGTGTGTGTGTTGTGTGTGTGTGTTAAGGGATGGGTGGGTCATTTTTCTCCTACTTTAAACATTTGCTTTCACTTAGGCCAGCTCGCTTCCCATTGAGGTGAAGTGTTTATTTACAGGATTTCATTTGGCTGTCGTTATTACAGACATGTGTGAAAAACATCTGGGCTTTATCATGGAGAATGGAGGTGAGTGTGTGTGTGTGTGTGTATGTGTGTGTGTGTGTTTGTGCGCATGGGAAAGCTTTTACATTTGTGACTGTACGATTGCATAAAAACACAAGGCTCTATTGCCATACTAATAACAACAACACATGTAGCAGCAAAGTCTCTGTATGGGAAAAAAAACTGTGCTGAATGAAAAAACGATTGCAATGAAAAGGATGCGACATTTAAAGACTAGTGGATGCCTCCAAAACTGAAACTGCAGAAATATTCATACAGTGTGGCAATCAAATAGATACATGAACAAAACGAGTGGGTAGAAAAAAAAAAAGTACCGTAATGGAACGTCATCAACTCAGAAGAATGCATACCTCTCTGATCTGTCCTTTTTCAGTGCTTGCCTGTCCTACTGTGATCTTCCTCAGAAAGCGGTCATTTGTGTCCAGGACTGGAAACAAAACACACACAAAAACAACACTTCAATTTCTTGCAAAATTTCTAATAAAATCAGTGAAAGACATGATACATATACAACAAAAACGTTAATAGAGGTACTACATATCACCCTATTTTAGACCTCAGACACACAGAAGATGTATTACTTAACAGGCTGAACAAAGCAGACATACATTCGTACATTCTACAGGGATAACAAGTTATTTTTGGTTTTATACTTAAATCATGTTTCTACTTCATCTCATATGGAGCTCTGGAGATATGAGAGCTCAAGAAATAACTTTATTACATGGAAAAATAGAGTAAATAAAATGTATGGATGCATGTCGGCTTAGATCTTCACTCTGCATTTACCCTTTTCTCGGATAACGCGGATATTAAAAAACAGAAGGGTTACTCTGTAGCTACACTCTTGTAAAAATGAGCCAAGTGGGAACCACACTAGACAAATATTTTCCTCATATTGGTTAAATGTAATCAAGGAGAAGGAGTAAAAAAACCTGCCTTGTTTCATGAATTCAAAGAAACGGTTACACCCACAAAACATTAGGTGGTAAATCTGTTTTTAATCTCCAGGGTTCGTCTTTTAAGAATGCCCACCGGAGCCATTGGAGTAAATACCACATCAGTCATAGCAGCGCCCGCCCAGCTGGTTGTTCTCACTGACAACTTTAAACCAACACAGCAACCACTGAGGAAGCTTTTCCCACACCTACCATACCCACATTAATTATCCTGTGAGTGAAGGCTGCCACCCATTTACACTCAACGCGTTAACTTGATCCAAACACAAGAGCTGGAAAGAGTTGTAATAGAAGAGTAGAGAACACCAATAAAGATACACAACACTGATTGTAGAACCTGGAGTGTGACATCACAAGATGTTTGTCTTCTTTCAGGTAAATTAGATTTGTTTCAAAGTCAAGATATTGGTTTTGATCAAGAATATATTTCTGGGAATAAACACTCCTTTAAAACATCTCTGTGACCGAGATATATTAATGTATGTGTGGTTGCTTTTTCCCTTACTTTAAACATTCATTATGTTGCAAATGAAGCAAAGAATGACATGACACAAAGTTAACAAGCTAATACACTTACTACAGTACAGAGTCAATTCCTAAACTTTACAGATACCTCTCTGCCAGGTGATCTTGGAAGGGTCAAGGTCAAGACGTACAAAGGTGCTGACTTCCTGGGGTGTAAGAGATGCAGGATCTGTTTTGTTGATCCCTAGACGCTAGAATTGAAAGAAGAAAGATGATTAAAGGATCAGTGTTTTTGAAGAAGGATTGCTTGGGTGTAGTTTTTGGCTGTGGTAGTACAGCTAGTTACAATAACTGATTTAAAATGATATAGTATATTCGGGTCTATATGAAGAAATTAAAATAAATGAGAAATAAATAAATCTTAGATACTTTCAGATAACCAGGCAGGTAATTATTGAGTTGACTTGTGTTTAAACGACTGTCACCTCAACATCCGCCATCTTTGTATTTTATCTGTTCTGACTGGATAATAGGCATTCAGTGATCAAAACTACATAAAACCTTACCTGTATCGCAACATGTGATAATTCTGCTTCATGAGGTATAAACAAATGCAATGAGGTAAGGACATGCTGGAGGGAGAGAAGGCTCACTGAGGTCCCCTAGTGGCCAAAGGTGTCATTTCTATAAGAGCTCAACATAACAATCCTTTTGGCTGATCATGTTTGTTGACATTAAGGATTCTGGCTCTGCAGGGTTTGGACTTACTCTAAGCCTGGAGATTTGAATGGGGGAAAATCTCCTCACTCCATTCACTGACGGGACCAGCCTGTGGAACAGGGCCTACAAAGTACACAAAAAAAACAATGACATTAGATCTATGTTGCATACAAAGTTAATTCAATTGTACCTTGGATGAAAACAAAAACTTTCTTGATTAGAATACATCACACCAAATACAATGAAACTAAGGGAGCTGCAAATTGATGTACTGTGACTGTTTAATGTAGATAAGACATTAAATGCATGCTTTCACTGTCCATGGATCAGTTTATGTTTATTGTCTCCGTTGAATGCTGAAGGATTATTTTTGTGAAAATTAAGTGATGTCACAAAATAACAATGCCTGTGGTGTATTAACGGAATAAAAAAATAGGCCTAGAAAGCTAATAATGTGCAGTTGTATATTCAAATTTAAGTGTCATACCAGGATACTTGAAGTATGACTAAAATACTTATGTAGTTAAGCTTTATGTTTTTGTCAATATTTGTTCCACCTGAGCACAAATGATACACTTATGTCTTTGCTGATTTTGTCCTTTACATATGAAGGTAGTGTTTTTTAACAACATGCTCATCCTCCCTTCTTTTCACAGTCATACTTATTACAAATGTTTTCTGTGGAAAATGTAAACGAAGGGTGTTTAAGTGGCGAGCCGTCAATCACTTAATCTGACACCTAGTCCCGTCGGCAGTTCCAGGCATTAATAATAACTATATAGAAGTGGTCAATCGATCTATGCTGATGGTCTTGTTAGCTTTTGTAGGTCGATGACAGTCTGTTTCATAACAGGGCTTATTATTGTCTACAAAGTTTCATAAATTACTTGGAATGAGGAATCAAAATAGGAAACAGCTTTGAGTTTTATTCAATATGAGAAAACTCCCCATTGTAACTATCACAGCATCAAGTTAAAAAGAAAAGTTACAAACATTTAAGTTGAATAATAACTGGTTATATCTGAGTGACGACGCCACAAAATCACCTTGTCCGATTGGGTCGTTTCATGGAGCATCCTGGCATCGATGGCTGCTGCAACCAGGTTATTGGCTGCTGTGATGGCATGAATGTCACCAGTTAGATGGAGGTTGAACTGAAGGGCAAGATAAAGACAAACAGAAGAAGAGGTGAAGGGGTTAGACATACTGAATAAAGAACTGTAATGTGGTATTACACATTGTAGGATTATTAGTAATGTAAAGGTGATAAACTGCTGTGAAGGGAGAAGAAGAAGTAGTAGAGTGAAAAGGTTGTAAAAAACTGTTTCGACAGTAGAAAAGGAGTCTACCGTTTCCAAGGCCCTGTGTCTGAATCTGTTAAACCAGTCCCCCTCCCTTTTCCCTCCCTGTCTTACAGTCCCTGAAGTCACAGGAAATGTTATGCCACAGCTCCAGGGGCTGTGTGTCTGTGCGTTTATGTGTTTTCTTGCAAACTAGTGCAGGTCTCAGTGTGTCTTTGGTCTTTGAAGCCTGCACTTGTCCTGCTATGGTGCACTGAGGGTGTCTGTGTGTCTTACCTCCTCCATGGGAATGACCTGGGCATACCCGCCTCCTGCAGCTCCCCCTAGGCACAGAGAAGAGGCAGCACAGTCAGAGGCAGACAAACACGACAGGGACACACAAAGGAAGAAAGCTGAGCGCTGGACTCTGAGTGAACTGTTCCACCCCAGTAAAAAAAAAAAAAAAAGGGAACAAGACGCTAGCCTCATGCTGACAAAAATAACTTATCACACAGTGACTTGATACATTCCTTACTGCTGGTTTGGGGCGCCTGTCTTTGGCCTTGTACAAATGTATTCGAGGGGAGTAAAATGAAATTCAAAGTTGAATTCCAAAATGACATCCACCATGTGCAACACAGTTAGAATGTAACTGAAGCTGCTGTTTTAATAAAGTTCTACTGAGAAAAGAGATTTAGAGATCTTCATAATAAGAGAACAACTGTGTTGCATTACCATGTCGTCGAGATTTAATTGGAGAGCACAGCTAAACAAAAAAGAATACAGGATATATCATGTACAAAACCTTAAGGACTTTAGTATTTTTGCCTACCTTTAACCCCAAAGGTTGGTCCCTGAGAAGGCTGTCGAAGACAGGCGAAGGAGTTCAGCTTAAGCTGGGCAGACAAAGCCTGGACCAGGCCGATGGTCACCGTGCTTTTACCTTCACCCAGTGGGGTGGGGGTTATACTAAACATACAGGACAATTTTTTTAATTTACACAAGTTATGCAGCTTACTTCTTTTAGGTCACAAATCCACGCACTACTGTTGATATATGATAATAACATAAGCAATCAATAAATCATTACATTTCACTCACCCAGCAACCAGTACATATTTCCCATCAGGCTGTGTGTTGAGGCGGTCTAAAAGCGAGAGTCGCACCTTAGCTTTGCTCCTGCCATAGGCCTCAAGCTCTTCAGGCAGAAGACCGATCTCCTCAGCCAGTTGGTTCACTGGCTTTGGAGTCTGAGCTCTAGAAATCTCTATGTCGCTGAAAAACACAGAAACAAGATAAAACCTTGAGATACATGTAATATTAAGCATCAAATGTGTGAAAAATATCCCATACTGACTCATTCCTGTTATTTAAGGATCTAGTCAGATGTAAGTGCAACTAGGGGACAGGATACTCTGTCCAGGTAGATTTGGTTACATTCTTCATATTCCCACACATATACCTTGGTACAGGGGTGAGGGGCTGCAGTTTGAGACTGCGCAGACTCCAGGGTCGATACTGTTGGTCCTGCAGCCACCGACTGCAACTATGCACCACATTCTAGTAGACAACAAGGAGAGATAGAGAAAACAAGGTAAGAATGTAAGTATAAAGATAAAATGCAGTTAGAAAAAAGGATGAGAGCTGGGACAGAAACAAAGAGACAAACCTGTGTTCTGTAAGCTGCTGTAAGGTATCCTAATCCAGACTTTGAAGGCATCTCAATGTCATTTTCATCTAAAAAGAAAAGTCAAGATATTGACTCATTTCTGAAGGCGAGCAGAGTTCAAATTACAATTATCAGAGGGTACACCCAGAAGCTATACCAAGTGATTGGGATGACTGTCAAAAATATATTTCAAATGACCTGTTACACAGCGGATGATGGCAGCTCCGGGTCTAACCCAGGTAGATGGGACATCCATATTCCCTGCCCCTAACAGGACAACTGCATCAGGCTGGATGACATAGGGAGGAAGAAGGAATCAGACAAGAAGAATTTAAAATTTTTAGTAAAAAAGAGTAATGAAGCAAAATTACAAAATAAAAAATTGTGATTGCCTAGTGTTTAGCTCTCAATCATAATACTAACTATTTCCATTGGCTCCATTACAACTGATCACATCTTGAAATTATTTAATTGTGACGGTTTATCTGAGTTTTGTTTTTGCATTATTTTTTTCAAGTATTTAAAATAACACTAATGTATTTCATTATTTTTTTTTCTTCAATATGGTGCCTGCACTGCTGATGAGAAAATTGCTGCTGCGTACATAAAAGCAGACACTGACTCCTGGTGGTCATCACAGAAAAGTACACATCCTGTACTACATTACTGAGGCAACCAAATAATGGAATCAGAGCTGAAGATCTTGTAAAGCATAAGAAGACTTCTGTTATAACAATCATTACTTAGATTGCAGTCAGTATTTATAATAAAAACAATCTTTGAAGTGTACAGGGGGTGAATAAAACTTGTATTGAAAATATAAAAATTGTTAAAATAGTTGTAAGAAAGAAGAGTAAAGAAACACTACCACACCTTTCTCTGTAAGCTCTTGGAGCTCCAGTGATTCTTCAAAGCTACCATCCCACTTCTCTCAATCAGACACTGCAGAGCCATGCTGAAGGGTCCTTCATCTCCAACCAGCAACACGGTCTTTCCATCTAAAGGAGCACCTGTTAAAAGGGTTATTTCAGAAAGACATTACAGAAAACAAAACATATTTACAGATAAAGTACATTTTTAAATCCATTGGCCATAAACCTTATCCACCTCATACTACCCTTACTACAGCTATAACTGGACAACAATGCATCACATTCCAGTCATAGTGAGGTTTGAAAAACTGCACCAAATTATTTTTGTAGGACAGGGACAATCAGAAAAACTCAGAGCCTATGAACACCATTGGATTAAAGATTCTGATGAGTCAGCTAATTCTTCTAATTTGGCAAAAGAATCTTTACTTAAAAACTTAAATGTGGAGTATGTCTTCCATACTGTAAACACATTTTGATCAAGATTTATGCAAGTGGTACATTTCTACTTAAAAAAGTATTTTTCTTAAAGCTTCCTTTTAACAAAGTTGCATTCATTGACACTAACCATTGCACCATTTTATGTTAAGATTACTTTACTGTATAATAATTACCAATAAGTATATCTAAAGAACTTGCATATTAAGTAGCCTAATAACTGTGTTGATCCCAAGACCTGGTCTGCAGGTATTTTATCAGGCCACCTCTGCAAGCATCACTTCTCTAAAAATATTTTTTTGCATTATTCCTTAGTAAGTAATTTTTCCACACTGTACTGACTACAAAATATGACTTTATATTTTGTGTTCATTTGGGACACAGTAACAGAGTCAAAGGCTGTTAAACACAGCTACCTCTAATGAATCCACGAGTAAGTGTGCCAAATGAAAACTGTTTATCAGTGTTTTTTAATAATGTACTTCATTATATCATATACACTGTTCATAGCTGTGAAAGTGATGACAAAAGTCCCTTTGGTTTCATTTGTAAAAATGTTCCATGTTTCAGTACTGCCACTGCTACATTTATCAATGAGTTACAGTACAGTCAGTCCTTTACCCAGCACAACTAACAATCCAACTTTTTTAAATATAAGAGTGGAGGAGTGTAAATTAATTCTTAAGTATAAGGTAGCTCTCTAAGTTAAAGTAAAGCAGCAGTTAAATATACTACCACTAATTTCCTCTACAAAGAACTCACTGTGTTTCTCCAGCAGATCCAGGACAGCGCTTGCTAAAGGGGGCACGAAGCCTTTGCTCAGGTCCCCTCGTACCAGACGACCCACGTTCAAATCAGTTATCCTAGCACAAGACATAAACTTCATATAAATATGATATATCACAATTATCAACAAACATATTATACCAAAACAAAACTTTTTATTTTCTTGTTTTCATTATTGTACAAGGATCTTTTATAAAACACTAGTTGCCAGTCAGATGCAAGTTCACTTCCTGAGCACTACTGAGGTGCCCTTGAGCAAGGCACAGAACTCCCACCAGCTCAGGAGTACTCGCTGTGGGCAGCCTCCCTCACACTGACATCTCTCCATTAGTGCATGTCCATAGGATCCTGTTTGTTCATGTGTGTGTGTATCTCAGCCTATGTGTGTGAAGCATGTTCAACAAGAGAGTGTGAAATTGAATTTCCCCTCGTGGGATTAATAAAGCGAACTTTCTTCTTCTTAAAAACAAATGTAAAGTAGTTGGCTGAAGTCTCTTTTATTTATATTGATTACGAAGAGTCCCTCGTTGATTTTGCCAGTGATTGGCTTCTGTAGACACACAATGTTCTTTATTCAGTCTTAATGCTGTGCATCCCTTTCTGATTTGGCCCAAATCTGCTACAGCATGTGAGTCCTTCCTCTTATCTCTGGTGGGAAAGGGAAAGCAAACAACGGAAAACCGGCTGACTACTCCTCAAATGTCTACAGGAAGCACATAAAACTACATGTAGAGTATTGTTTTAAGGGAATACAAATAAATGTAGACATACAGCCTCTCTTAAACTAACAGTTTGTGCTATTTTGAAGATATTCGCTCTTCACTGTGATGCCACTAAGGGAAAGCAGAAAACTCAAGCAACTTGTAAGTTTGCTCGTGCATACCCATCTACATCCTTGTCAGGTCTGAGTGTGTTCAGCACCCGGCTGGTGAGTGCAGCTGGCGGAAGGTGGAGGTAGATTCCACGAACCCTTGGGTCTTCATTCAGCTTCAACACCTCCTCGACAATCTACACACATACAAAAAGACAAAAAAAGAAAGTACAAAACAAATGTGAAATGTATGCAGAAAACAGTTGTGGATATACAGCATGTTTATCAATTGGACCACACAAGTTGGTATGAGTAATGTTGATCTATGATCCATTCCAAACGTATACCTTAAATTTGAAGTACCTGTCGATATTTTAGAGGATAAAGTGTGGATTAAGAACAGGGAGCGAGTCAATTGGTAAAACAAAATAAACAGGTTAGTGCAACTAACGGCATAAAATGTGGATGTAATCTCAGAGGAGGGAGAGAGTATGGGAGAGCGAGGAACTCAAAGAAAGAAAGTTGCATTCAAGTACAGCAGTGGACCTTCAGATGGTCATTTCGGGCAGGAAAAAGTACTGGAACTCATTAGGCGTCAGCTAAAATGCCTGACATAATCACAGGAGTTCCTTCTTTTTATGTTGATCAAGACTTTACCACATCTGGGGAAGGAGCCAAAGCTGGGAAGTTGTCCCAGAGTTGTTATGGTAGAAAACACCATTAAGTGTAGGAAAAAACTCAAGCAGTGACTAAATCAATGTAGGAATCAAAGATTAGTCGTGTTACAGTGGTATAAAATTGGCAGTAAAGCATGTTTGAGGCACTATTAACTTTATACGTCACCCAACCACCACCATCATCACATACTGCACAGACAAACAGACAGGGGTGTGGTACATCATGCACCAACTTGCAAAACAATGACGGGGGTAGGAAGTTTTTTTTTTTCTAGATTAAAAGCACTGGGGGAAATATACCTATATTGTGATCAGTTTCACTTACTTCGTCCTCACTGCACTCCTTTGCCAGACAAATCTGAGTGAGGTTTAAGCCAATCTGTGGATATACAGACAGGTTGAGAGTGAGCACTTTGGAATGTTGAATGGATTTGTGACAAGAGACAAAAAAGGGAAAGTTTATACAAAGAAGTACAAGGAAAGGTAAATACCATGCCGGCCATTTTCTTATTGAACTCCAACAAGCTGTCATCTTCACCTGCCTTTAAGATAAAATTAGGACAATGAAAATCAAAAACGCAGACCTGATAACAGAGGAACTTTCAAAATGTTCAGGAAAAACAGTTAGCCCTTGGGTTAAAGGTAAAATAAGGTAAAGGATGTTTACACAGTCATTATCAAAACGCCACTGAACCAAGAGAAATTGTCTTCACTAATTAACTACTTTTTGTGTCGGATTAAAAATATTCCGAGGCAAGCTTTTACAAAACCATACATTGCAAACAATACAAATGTAAATGTATATATTTATACGTTTTCCTGCTACAATACAACATTTGTACAGCATTCCTGCTTTTGCTTACAATACCTGTATAATGGCTAACAATGGTTGGATAGCCGGATTTCTTCTCTGCAGAGCCACCATTGCCTCCTTGGTGCTTTGAACCACTTCCCTATAAAGAGAAACAGAAAAGCAATTTATATTCTATTCATATATTAAGGGCAACACAAGTGAAGTCAAACACTAAAGTTAGACTCAAAAGATTAGATTACAAAAAGGTACATGCAATAGTGTGTGTTTGGGTCAATTTCCCTGTGCAAATATTATTATTTTGGCTGTCACAAGCCGACACAAAACTGCCACTGTTTGCCAAAACACCACACCCCTAAACAGTCACAAAACAATTAGTATGACTACATTTTTACATTTGAAAACATTAAATGGCACCCATTGACCATCCTACCATGCACGTGCAAATGTTTGGGAGGAGCTTGTGTTCATGTGTGGTTAACACACTGACCTATATGTGACAAAAAAGTAAACACAACAACAACAACAACAACAACGTCCCTTTTTTAATTTCAATTTTATTTTTTTTTTTGTTTTAAGTCACATTTTAACAGTTAAACTCTCTTGTCACCTACAATACATGTATCACAAACAATAAACAAAGCGTAAAAGAGGGGGGGGGTAGGCCTACACGCCTTTGTGAACCAAGAGGCAAGTGATGCTGGCGATGTTACATTAAAATTAAGTCACTCATTGTAGTCTGTTGTCGCACTATATATTCGGGAAACAACTCAGCATCCTGGCAACAACAGAGAAAAGTTACATCAGCTCGACTCCAGAAGCCCCTCTGGTGATATCGGAGACACGTGGAAAATGGGCTGCGAGTCATCAGCAAAGCGCCGGTTAAACAGGAAGTGACCAACTAACGTTACCAAGCGAACGTAAACCTCGACACTGTGTTGTTTTCTACTCATTAATCACACCAAAGACATTGTCGAGCTTTAAAATGTCCGCGTTGGCTCGAACATACAACATTTCCCTCTTACCTCAAAGAACTGTCGATTTGAAGCCCATCACTCGCTGGTGAGTGTTTCCCAAAGTTGACGGCTAGTTTCGGGTTGGTCCCGCCGCCGCTGGTCCCGCTAACCGGTCGGAGGCTCAACTTGCTGTTGGCAGGACCGACTGGTACACATCTTCGCGACAAGCCGTGGACCCCGCTCCCCGAACGGGCTGGATGTATCCGGAGGCTGCCGCAAGCACTACGAATTATAGATAACTTCATGTTCGCTTTATGTTAATGTTGACGTGGTTGCTTATATGTTTATTCTTTGTCGCCTCTGTTGAGCTGAACTCGGCTCCAAACCTCGAAGGATGAACGAGAAGAAAGTTGAGGCGGTTACAGGGTACTGATGGAGAGACGACGTCTTCAAGGACAGTCGGAAATTTGAGTTTTCGGAGTTCAGCACAGAAGCAAACAAACTAAGAATACAGTATATCAAAAAAAAAAAATCCCACATGCAGAAAGACAATTTGTATATAAAACAAGCAATTTTTCTTGCAGGAAAACGTGGATGTCACGCTTATAATTTTATCATCATCTGATAATATGAGGATTACAGCATATTGCTTATTACAAGAGTATCTGCTTCATACCACAGCGTCATTCTGCCGATCGTGTCAGTTAAAAAAAAAAAAACACCACAAAATATATCCAAAAATCTTGGGACACTGCTTATAATTGATATTTTAAAAATCCGAGCTACACTTGAAGGCAGCAGTATCAGGGTAATAGCAGGAGGCATGCCCGCCATAATCCAATAGTACCCAGCACGCGCCTTCACGTGTTACTTATCCACAGAAAGATGGGAGGAGCATTTAAAGTTTTTAATTCATGTTATGAACGGCTTTTTAACTTAGCAAATGTTAAGGAAATACTAACACTATTAAGTTGCTGTGATGTATTTTTTATTAAAATGTGAACTTTCTAAAAGAGAGTTTTATTCAGTGTCACCATATCATCATTGATAACTCACATGAGTTGAGTTCTCTTGCCATCAGTAATACACAATGAATCAGTACACAGCTTCTGCCAAATCCATAGGGGGTTAGCCTGCATCTGCACGAGAAATTAAATAAATTAAATAGGAACGTCATTAATTGAAAAGTTTAAAAAGTTTTCAAATTCTACTTTATTGTATACTCATGGGTGTCACTAGGAATTCTGGGCCCCATGAAAAGATATCCTTGCCCCAACATCCATAGCCCAAGGTGATCCTGCACAATTACTACACCTGTGTACACTTATGACCCATTAAGAGCTTTAAATAATAACATGTAAAATAGCCAATAGGATACTATTCTAATTGTGATGCCAAATGTGGAGAATGCTTAAAAAAATATTTTTTATTTTGTATATCTGATGTAAAATTAACATTGTATATGCCCCAGTAGATATCTGTATTGGGGTTTCCCCTTATAATTCTATAGCAGGAAGAATTATGTTGTGGATATATGCATAAATTTAAAGCTATACACGTGAATGGCAAACTTTGTTTCTTGTAGGAAGGCAGAAGTTTTTGAAATCTGGAATTTTTATTATGACTTGGAGGAATTTAATTACAGATAGCCTATAATAGCCTATAACCTGTAGCCTTAAATAATAAAATGGATACCCAGCTATGAAATGTTAAAAAGGTTCAGAAATCTTGAAATACAATTTCTGCTATAGTAAGAATGCTAAATTGAATAATCTAGCAAGTCTGACTAGTGAGAATACAGTTTTTGGAATAGGAGAAATGCTGTTTCAGTATAGGCACATCTAAAATATAATCAGAATCAGAATCTGGTTTTGTTGCCAAGTACATTTAAACATACAAGGAATTTGACTTGGTGTATTGGTGCTTAACAATTAACAAGGAAATAAAGCAGAACTAGTAACAATTTAAATAATACAGTATAAAAACGCTATTACAATATATAAAATATAATTTAAAATGTAAAAAATAAAAAATAAAAAACACAAAATGTACAAAAGGTGCAATGTAGGAGCTGTGCAGTGGACTATGAGAAATGAAATCTTACAGTGTATGTGACCTACTCACAGAGTGTATGAAAATAAAATAAATGTAAAGTCCAGTGGGCGTTAATGTAACGCATAAAGAACAGTTTCAGCATTTCAGCATCCTAATTTGATAGGATTATGTTTCCTTTACATTTTAAAGCCTCTTGCCATATGGCTCTGTCTCTCTGTCTGTGTTATTTTATTCTTTTATTTAAAAAAAAAACAAGTGCAAGCTATACTACTCATGGGAGTAATTGGGGCGTACCTTTAATATCAACAGTCTTTGTACCTAACAATTCAGTGACGTCACTTCACCTCAGCACGAGCTTGTGATCTAAAAACGGCAGGTAGCGCTGCAACCAAAAAATATACACAAGCGTCTACAGTTCAGGGAACAAATCTGCTGGGCTTAACAACTCCAGTGGGATATAGCATGTTTTGCACAATTCAATTAACAATTTTACATTTTTCTCCCTGGAACTTTTCCCTGTAAATATAATTGAACTAACTTTGTTTAGGGCTCCACAGCAGCTGCTCATGTCTTGTCATATCCAATTGACGCTCCTTGAGGTCAAACCAACCGAACTTCATTCCTCAAGTCACATCATACAGTCGCACGTCGTGGCGCAATCTTTCACCCATCAAACAGCTGAATAGCCTATAGTTTCAGCTCCAGAGATAGCTGCATAACGCCTGTCTGGCTCTTTGTTTTCGATCTCGATCCAGAGAAGTCGATCTCGGATAGGCTACTGGAGAATGGTGCAGTGGTGCCATGATCATCCTACGTTAAAGGAAAAGGCTTGATGTATGTGGAATCTAAAGCAAACCAGGTAAGACTTTTTCTATCTTTCAAGACTTAAATGTGGAAACCTTAATAACAATGTCGTAGGTTACATGAGACCTATGTGTTAAGTAGCTATTAGGGTACACAAAATGCTTTTTGTGTCCTATATAACCTACATAAAGTAAGTGTATTTTAAACAATCAATATATACATGTGTGACTATTTCAACAACAAAAAAACTCCCATTAAGATATATCTTCTACTATCAGCAATATGAATCATAAATTAAACCCCATAAGACATATATATTGAAATATATATAGAACGTTTATCTTAAAATACTTTTAGGGGGAAATAAAATATTTGAAAGAGAAGTTTTTCTGATTGATTCCTATAACAATGGTCTTTTTTTAATCAGTATTTAGGAAAATACAAGTAACAATATAGCCTATATAAAACCTTGAAAAACTAAATATTTATCTGAAGTGAGATAGCTTATCAACCAGATTTCCTCTTTACATTGAGTTGTTTGAAGCCTCTTTGATCACACAGAAAGTCTGTTACTCTTTGCTGGAAATCAAAAAAGACAACTAGGCCTACATGAAGTAAAGTTTGGAAACTTTAGTCCAGTACACTATACTTTGAAATGCATTTTAATGACATAACCACACTTCTCATTTCACATCAGAAATGTTCTTTAAAGTAAGACTGTTGTGATATTCCTGTATCTGATGTACAACATCTGCTGACGCTCCAGTGAGTTTAAAAGTAAAAATAAATGTCTTAAGAGAGAGACGCATCACAAGTTTAAAGAACACGTTTGGTGGGGAGTAACACCTTTGACTATTCTTTGGAGAACCTGTTATGCCAGTGTTGGGTGGGTAAGAGCTAAAGGAAGAAGGATCGGCTTTAACACATGCATGACAGCTTTAAATAGACGGCGGGTGTGTTTTCTCTTTCAGACAGGCCTTCTTCCCTGACTCATCTTTACCAATGTGGTTTAGATTTGGAAAGATTACTGGACAGAGAAAATCATTTTGACATCCAAAACCTTCACTTGAGTTCTCTGGCCCAACCATGAGGGACAGACTGAGCAACCTGCAGGAAATGTCCAACGGCCATGTGGAGCCGATGGAGTACGAGGAGTCCACCGTCTCTGAAGCCTTCAGCAACGTGGACCTCGAGGAGGAGCTGCCTCATGAGGCGGTTGTGTGGGACAGCAGCCCTGTTCTGGAGGAGGTCTTCTCTCAGTCACAAGAGATCACACAGAGAGATCCAGCTCATCCGCTTGGACGTCAAAAGGCTGCGTGAGCAGAACTCTCGAATAACCCAGGGTGTCACCACCATGAGCACCATCAAAAGGGACTCCAATGCTATCGGTGCTGACATAAAAGCTCGGGCAGAGGGGATTCTGTCAAGTCTGAAAGAAATGGATGGCACAGCCTGCAAGCTAGAGGAAGCTCACGGGTCAAGTTCTGCCATCACAAGAATATCCAGAACCCAGTATGCCGGCCTCAGCAATGGTTTCCGTGATGCCATGTTTGACTATAACGACGCTGAGATGAGCCATCGGGAGAACTGTAAAGCCCAGATCCAGAGGCAGATGGAGATAGTCGGACGAGAGGTGACAGGAGAGGAGGTAGAAGAGATGATCGAGCAAGGTCAGTGGAACATCTTTAATGACAACGTCATGTCTGAGGGCAAAACAGCTCGATCGGCTCTGTCCCAGATCGAGAAACGTCACCAAGAGCTGTTGGACCTGGAGAACAGAATCAAAGGCATCCATGAGATTTTCCTGGATGTTGCGCTGCTGGTGGAGGAGCAGGGCCCCATGATTACCTCCATCCAAACCAATGTTCAGAAAACGGATGAAGGCATACAAGATGCCCTTGTCAAGCTTCGCAAGGCCAAACGACATGACAGTAACAACCCTTTTAAAAAGATGTTTTGCGGCTGTTTCCCATGTTACAACAAGTAATGACTAAAGAACACAGATGTGGTGAGAGGGATGGCAAAAGTTATTTCCAGACAAAGACAACTGGGAAATCAACAAGACATTAAAAATGTTCTGCTCTTCTTATTGTCAAATGTTCATTAACGTGGCCTGTGGAGTTATTGCTCAAGATTTGTCAGGTAGTTGCAGAAAGTTTTAAATGAACCTTTCTTAAAGGGTTTTTGCTCAGGTAAAATATTTTAAATTTGTATTTGAAAAACATGAATGTCTGTAAAGTTTGCATAAGCGGTCTTAGACAGGTAATCTCAGATCAGAGATATTTTATGACTACCCCGAGAAAAGTTGGTATGAAGAAATATTTTTCATTGTCTTAGCTTGCTGATTTATCACATGGGAGATACTTTTCAAAAAAACACCATGAAAAGACTGTCAGACATGTTTTCATTAATTTGTAGAAAATAAATCATGAAAAAAAAAAGTTTGTGCCAGGCATACTGTACTGTCTGTCGCACTAATTCTAATTCACTAATGTGGGGAACACCCTTTCTAGTTAACTAATGCTGGAATTTTGAATAATGATCCCCTTGATATACAGCTGAGAGTTGATGTTTTAGAAATTGTAAACTGAATCGTTCTTGATCGAGTTGTAAATATGTTCTGTTTTACTATACATTTAAATGCCAAACACTTTTAATTTCCCATCAGTTTCTATGATTTACCATCTCTTATACAGTCAACAGTATCTGGGCAAGAAGAACATTTTATTGGTTTTGTGATGTACACTAATATGTTGCTCTTCACTGCTATTTTATGATTTGTGTTGTATGATAATACATTTAAGTTGTCTGCCTTTTGTTCGTGCTGCCATACAAACATGGAGAGTTGAATTAAGATAAGTGAGTCTGTTTTATTTTAAATGAATCAAAACAGAAAAGTAAAGACCAATTGAGATATTGTAGAGTTTGATGCATCACATTGACAGCAAGGTTTCTACTTCATTGACAATGTCTCATCTTTCTTGAGCTGTAAAGACACTGAGCCAATCAAAAAAGTTTCTTTACTCAAGGAAGTGTTGTGTGTTGGAGTGGGAAGGTCTATGTCTCCATGACTGTCACCTGGAAAGGGGCGTTAGTCTCGCACACATTGAACACACAGCACACACAGCACACAGAGAACTTCCTCATCAGTTCAAAAAATATGTTTCTCTGGTGTCTTGAACCTACAAAATCAGGCTGTGACAAGTTGGAGGGATCTATTTCCTTTGTTTATTTGGGGATCCAGTAAAAAAGGTAAGACATTTGGACAACAGCATTTAGTTATATTTTATTAATTTCCTTGGGTGGAGCAGAGGCACCTGGTGACAAGTGGATAATTGAAGGTGTTCAATTAAAGCTACAATTTCCATCAAGAATATCTCATGTTAAGTGTTAGTGACACATTGGGTCCGCTTTAAAAATAGTTTCATGTAGTCTATTTTAAGTCGGGTTAGGGTTTAGCTGAGTTAGCTGTCAGAGATTTAGGTGGGCAACATCTTGTCAAAAGCTACATGCAAATGTTTGACAAAATGAATGTACTGAGAGCTACTTTTTAAAAAGATAATGGTGAAACACTGTCATCTGTGATAAACCAGCTCTGAAAAGAAATGTCTGTTTTTAGAAGAGATATTCTTCCTTGTTCCTGGTTTTAAACATTCCTTGAAGCATTTGAGCCGAGACTGCTGTTGTTCAGCACAGAGAGAAAACCAGAGAAGTGACCAGTCATTATGTGTAGTATATCCACAACATACCAGCTTCAATTGGTTGTGTATAGTCCTAAATTAAATATGAACTTTGCATACAATAACTATGGAAGCTACTATTGATTTCCAGAGTTTCTACTTTAAGTGACACTATGAAGGGCTCTTGATGTAAGATTGTGTCTACTGACTTTACAATATAGACTTGATGTTTCCACACTGAGCACAAATGATTGCATTCCCATTGCAACCATTTCTATAATGTTGTTCTGCTGTGTTTCAAGTTTCCAAAGGGACTCTGACAGACAGTTGTGGTTTCAAAACTTCTGGATTATTGAAGAGGAAACAGGGAGTCAAATTTGGGGTTTGGTTAAAATTTTTGGCTAACGGTAGCCTATATTTGTTTGAATATCAGTTAATGTACATTGTCCATGTACAAGTGACTGAATCTACATTAATGTAGGCTAGCTAGTGGTTAAATACTAACATTAACTGTTTGGTAAGCTGTCAATATCTTGTAACTTACAAAATATCAAGCTTAAGATGTTAACTAGCTAACAATAATTTAGGTAAAACATTGGTTTAATGCTATCTTAGCTGCTTGATTAGCTGTCTGTTCCTAATAAGTTACCAAATATTTGTTTTTTTGTACCTTTTTAATATAGTAAGATAAAACTCAAAGCAGTGAAATTAATTTTTCAGGTTCTCTAAACTTATTTGATTGGCAAACCTGGTAGGCAGCACTATGACATTATATACCTAGCTTTAACTTGAAAGGAAAATGCAGGTTGTTTGAATATGGTGAGTACCCACCATCTTGTTTTGCCCTCAGGCAGAATGCGGGACATGCTGGAAAGGCTGCAGACCCTTAGTGAAGAGCAGGAGGACTTTGAGCCAGAATTTTTTGGACCTGAGTACGATGTGGACAAGGTGACTCTGTCTCAAGAGGCAGTTGTGTTTGAGAACACCTCAACTATTGACAGAATCCTAGAGGAGGCCAGCTCAATACGCAAAGAGATCTCCTTTCTGCAATTAAAGGTGGAGCATCTACGCACACAAAATGAACGTTTTGGCACCTCTGTTCGGCGGTTCACCCTCCTCAAAAAAGACTCTGACACCATTGCCAGAGGTATCCAGCAACGTGGGGAGGCCCTGTACTTCCGCCTTCAGGCCCTAGGCAAGGCGAGCGCCCAGCTTGAGGAGAAAGATGGTCCATATTCTGCTGTTAGTCGCATTGCCCGAGTTCAGTGTGACACACTGAACCGTGATTTCCATGCTGCTATGAGTGACTACAACGAGGCAGAGGAGATGCAAAGGAGTACATGTCGAAGGAGGATCCAGAGGCAGGTCTCCATACTGGGGAGAGAAATCACTGATGAGCAGCTTGATGTGATGGTAGACAAAGGAGGAGAAGGATGGGCTGAGCTGTCCCAGAGTCTGCAGACACCAGGTGCACGCACGTCCCGCATGGCTTTGTGTGAGATCAGAGGGAGGCACAAGGAGCTGGTTGAGCTCGAGGTCAGGCTGAAGGAGGTCCATGAACTGTTCATGGACATGGCCATACTAGTGGAGGAGCAGGGGTCCATGATCAATAACATTGAGTCTCATGTGTGTGCCACCGAGGAATATACTGACAAAACTATTGTCGAAATAAAGAAGGCCCTACAGTACAAGAGGAAAAATCCTTTTCTGCAATGTTGCCCCTGTCTACCCTGTTGGAGACACAATCAAACTTTTTAAGGCCATTATTTTTTGGGTCTTTTTTACAATTTTAAGGATGAAATTGAAATGAAAATAAACATGTACCTGTTTACTAAACATATGGACAGCTTTACAGAAATGTAAAAAAAAAAACCCAAAAAACTGATTTTGTCCTATACACTGCAGTACCTTTTAATTTTTTCAATCAATGTTTGAGGCTTAAAAATGATCATGGTTTTGGGTCACCAGCTGGCTTAAATGAAAGTCACAGTAAAATAGCTGATCTGGTTATTTTGATTAAAGTTATTCAAATTTTTGGTGTGAATGTATAAAATAATTTTGCATTTGAAAAAGAAAGTGTTATTTTAATTTGACAATAAATGCTGTTGTAGTAGATTAAAAACATGTTTCCTTTGTAAAAAAAAAAAAAACATCAACATGGGTCATGGGGATAACAAGTGGTCTTGAGCAAGATAGAGTGATGGGTATCAATCAGGAGCGGTATTGTTGAGGTTCATTTAGATCAGTAGTTCTCAACGGGTGGGTCGTGGAGCCGTTTTCAGTGGGTAGTGAACATGCGACTGGAACAAAAAAGTGTCCAAGTCTATAATGCGCTCTTAAAACATGCTGGTTTTGTTCCTTCTCTTTATTCCGTTACATGTTTCGTACCGCCTGAGGTCCAAACTGCACTATTTTTCATACAATGAATCTGGTTAATTAAAAAAATTCTAAAATTTGGGTCATGATGTTGAAGGAGTTGTTGGTGGGTCCTTAAGCTAGACCAGTTTAGATGTGCCATTCAGAAGTACAGTATATCAAAGTCACAAATCATCACCAGTCAGTAAGTCATAAACTCACGCTTAAGGACAAAAAGAGATCATCTTTTGGAGGACAGTCATGACGGAAGACCGAATCTAGACTGAACAAGATGTACAATTATTGAGACACCATATTTTTATACAGGCGTTACAAGTCAAATATGACACCAAAGCTATGACTAAAGAATGTCGGAAAGAGGGAAGACAGCATGATTCTTATTTTAATTGAATTTAATTAGTTTGATCTTTTCGAACAATTTCTTTAGTTTTAAATAAAGAGATTTAGCCATACGCTGTTTACGAGGTTTCCTGTTCAGTTGTGTGGTCCTATAGCCAACTCATGCTTGACAATTAGTTTGTTGAGTTTTGAGTCCAGTATGTCAACTAGGTCATATAGATAAGTTTATTTTGCTGAAATATGATAAACCAATAATCCTAAGAAACTGTATCATTGCCAAATTTTGCCTGCTTAGGACTTTGGCACAAAAATGGTCTGAATTATTACTCATTCATAGTTTATGTGGCCTTCGTTGTGAGGTGTGTTACCTTTAGAAATGTTTAAACTTAAGGCACAGTATCAGCTCAAACAATTAAGGAATGTAAACTATATTTTGAAACAGGCTTGCTCAACATCAGTTTACAACTTCAGCTACAATAGCATTTGTTCACATTCTGGTTTAGTGGTGTATTTTGTTTCCATATTCCCAAACAGTGTTGCAAATGATCCTTTGAAAACAAACGTACTGCTTTACAGAGCAAACTTAGACTCTTGGGTCAGTTTCTAAGTGGGTATTTAAACTTTTCATTCAAGATTATAAGATTAAATTACTAGAAAGAAAGAAAACCCCTGGAAATGCTCATTCTGCTAATTATGCATAAATAGTTTAGTTTAGATGTTTATTGCCATTTGCACAGGTACAGGACAGTACAGGTACATTGGAATTCTTGTGCGTTTCTCCCTGAGTCAGCTTCTACAGAAAAGTTAAAATGATGTATAAAATAGAATAGCATTGTAAGAAAAAAGTAAAAATAAATAAGTTGTATTAACAGCTAAGCAAAGATATAATACAAAAAACCAACATATAAAATAAATAAATAAATAAAATAAATGCTACAATAAATCACTGTTATATTTAAACATGTGAACAAATAAAGATAACTGGAAGAAGAGGAAACTACTGTCGTATGTCAGTGCCACCTTCAGACCAGCAAAGGAAGGACCAGGACAGCCTTCACCCAGTCCGAGTTAGTGATGTGAAAAGCAGTTCTTTTCAGTGTACTGAATCACTAGAATCAGTTCAGTAAAGTGATTCGTTCAAAAGATTCGTTCACCGAATCGTTTAGTTGGATAAAGCTACAGTTTGCAAGTACTGAACGATTCGGTGAACGAATCATTTGAACGAATCACTTTACTGAACTGATTCTACTGATTCAGTACACTGAAAAGAACTGCTTTTCACATCACTAGTTCAGTACACAAATCACTCACTGACTGTCTGACTGAGAGGAAGAGAGTGACTCGGAGGCGGAGCTCTCGTTCAGTTCGTTCGTCCGCTCTTCCTCTCAGTTCGTTCCTCTCTTCCTCTCATTTCGTTCATTGATTCACGTCGGAGCTCTCGTTCAGTTCGTTCGTCCGCTCTTCCTCTCAGTTCGTTCAGTGATTCACGTCGGAGCTCTCGTTCAGTTCGTTCGTCCGCTCTTCCTCTCATTTCGTTCATTGATTCACGTCGGAGCTCTCGTTCAGTTCGTTCGTCCGCTCTTCCTCTCAGTTCGTTCAGTGATTCACGTCGGAGCTCTCGTTCAGTTCGTTCGTCCGCTCTTCCTCTCAGTTCGTTCAGTGATTCACGTCGGAGCTCTCGTTCAGTTCGTTCGTCCGCTCTTCCTCTCAGTTCGTTCAGTGATTCACGTCGGAGCTCTCGTTCAGTTCGTTCGTCCGCTCTTCCTCTCGGTTCGTTCAGTGATTCACGTCGGAGCTCTCGTTCAGTTCGTTCAATGAACGACAGTTCCGCTCTTCCTCTCAGTTCGTTCATGTCGGAGCTCTCGATCAGTTCGTTCAATGAACGTGAACGAGCGAGACTGCGAGTCACCAGCCTCAGTCACACACACACTGTACTGACTGAAACACGATCGTTAATAGATGTTAAAACAGTCAGCGGAGTTAAATTAAGTTGGCTATAAAAGCCGTTTGTAAACTGACGGCAGCTATAAAAAGCACATACATTTTCGCGACACCTAAATGTTAAATAATATATTTTCTACTTCCTCAATTTTGTAGACATGAGAGGGAGAAGTAGGGGCGGGCTTTGGTGACACAGAGCTCCCGACCGACTCCGTCCTGTTGGTTCAGTCAGTACATATCACTGAGATGAACAGAGAGGGAGGGCGGGCTTTGAGCGACTCTTACAGTCTGGAGAGAGAGACGTGAGAGAGGAGAGAGGAGAGCGCAACTGACGTTGAGAAATGAACGACTCTTTTCAATAAGTGATTCAGTTCAGTTCGTTCACCCAGATGATTCGTTCGTTTTGAACGAATCGTTTATGACCGACACATCACTAGTCCGAGTCCCTCTCCGAAATTGGCAACTTCTGCGTGGACTTTTAGGCTTAATAACTTCAGAGGTCCCGTTTTGTTTTATTTGCTCCTTGCGTCATAAGAGGTGACCCCCAATTCTCACAGTATTTCGTATCATTTCAGTGTAACTAAGCTGTGCAGAGCAACAAGCCCGCTTTTGCGCTTGAACATGCTAACACTATTAGCTGCTGTGTCTCGTTAGTTACGGGTTAGAGAGCAAAGTTTGGTAGCGCTAACAATACACGTAGAAGGGTTTCTCACGGGACATGGAGTCAAATGTTTGCTTTCCCGTGTCGCATTGTGTGGTGCACAATAAAGAAGTGGCGGCGGTAGATGTTTTAAACTGCGTTACCTTGCCACATGCGCGACATTAGCATGTTCGCTGCAGACTGCACTGGTAGCTGCTCTTTACTAACACTGCACCCACAGTGCTGCTCGCAGGACGTGCATTATGTGGTAAACGCAACAAATGTGTGATTTATTGTCTCGAAAGTTATGCATGCACCGAATCGATAAAAATAAATTGTGAAATGTGGTGGTAAATTCATGCACTGGTAATATGGCGGAACAAGGTATATTCACCAGGATGGCCGAGTGGTTAAGGCGTTGGACTTAAGATCCAATGGACATATGTCCGCGTGGGTTCGAACCCCACTCCTGGTAAATCTTTTACCAGTCACAATTTACATCAGGACTTCTTCTTAAACAGACACGAGTCGTCGTCGGTAAAGAAGAGCTCCAAATGGCTCTCACATATCACAAATCATGATATCTAATACTGCGAAATAAGCACATGCATGAATTAAACCTTTGAGGACAGTCTTAGATGTACCCCTAACTACTAATATCTTACAGTAGAGCACTTGGATACTTCCTAAAAAATAGGTTACACTGACTTTCAGTTCACCATTAGTATCGTTTCCCCCACTTAATTAGACTTAGACTTAGACTTTCTTTATTGTCATTCAAACTTGTACTTTACAGTGCAGATAAGAACGAAATTTCGTTGCATTTGGCTCATTGTAGTGCAGGATAAAAACAGCAGCATGTATTTACATATAAAAAAATAAGGTGCAGATATAAATAGATATAAAAAGAAAAACTATGAGTAAAATTATCTGGTAAAGTCTAGCCTGAACGTAGCAATGACGGTGAATGGCTTGTTATAGCAATGCTCTAACACTGAAATACAATTCAGAGAGTCAAATACTAAAGTCTGATAACAAAGGTTCTAAATATATTTTTTACAGTACAAGCCTTCCTCCTGCTGGCCCAATATAGAGTCAAAGTATCGATACATTTGCAGACTATAGGCCTACCTATAATAAAAACTCCAGTTGTTGGAGCTATTTAATTGGGGATAGAATTAGTTTTTGTATTTAGTTTACTAATATTTGGGTGGTGTTGTTTATTTAATTATTCTACACGTTTTCTTTATTAATTTTTTTTGCTAGTTATTTTTTTTTTTTGTAAATTTAGTTTTTTATTAGTATTTTTGTTAGGTATTTGGGTTAATACTGTGGGCAGTATTGGTTAATACTTGTTCTTTTGTTTGTTTTCCTCAAATAAACCAGCAAAAATACCGCAGCTCTTGCGTGGACATTGGATTTCTTTTGCCTGCGTACATCACATCCCCCATGGTGCATCAGTGGTCATTTCATTATGTTTGATATTAGTTTATTTAGATTTTGTTGTTGTTGTTGTTGTTGTTGTTGTTGTTGTTGTTGTTTTTTGGACAAATAGCCACTACACCAGTCATTAATTTGAACTAACTTCAAAAAAAATGTTTTAATATCCGTCGTTTTACGCTGTTATTGTTAAGTGAAGCCCTAGGGTTAAATGTCAATCTTTTTTTTACAAATTTTTACACAATTTGGACAGAAGAGGGCGCTCTAAGACATTATTCCGGTCTCCTGGCTTAAGGCCAACAACAAGCCCGC